GAGAGTGGAATGGCGTAGATGGGACGAATTTGCTTGCATATCAGGCTTGGAGACGACTTTGCTGTGTTACCGCGCCTGATTTGTGTTGGCCGGATAATGGAGATTGGTACCCTGACGTAGCTCTCGCCAAGAGCTTTCCAATGAGCCCTTGATTGTGAAAATCAAGTGAAGGACACCAAAGTTATGACATGGAAAAGTTGAAAATTGTACTGACATTTTGTAATTCTGGTGCATGCTGTGCTAGTAATCCGTCCATAAAGGGTTAAGGTTTGAGCCCGCATTGGTCTTACCATGGTTGCTTCAATTTGCCATGCTCTGCTTATTTGTGTGTTTCATAATAGGGTGCGTCGTTATCCGCAGCCATGCTTGCTGCCGTCCGTATTGATTTCATCCCAGCGGTCTGCTTTGCTGCCTGTCGACTGGATGTTCATGCCAGTACTGGATGCTTTCTCTCAGTCCACTACCCTGTAAGTAACGCTGCTGCCATGCATGCACATATTTCATGTCCTGTTGTGTTGTGCGAGATCCGTGTCACTTTGTCAAGAGTAGGGTTGCAAGGAATATTCGAATATTCGATTGATATTCGTTTGGAACACGAATGAAGGAATGTTTTTCCCTTTAGAATATTCGTTCGTTTTGACACGTGCGCGCACTTTGCTCTAGTGTCGATCTATCGTAGTAATCCTAGTCAAGAGTACCATCATCGTACATGGAAGTTGTGGGCTAAATGGCACATGTGTGACCGCTGTGCCACGTGGAGGGGAATCCCCAGTTGGGCATGATGCGCTGTGCGCCACTCGGAATGCACCACTGGCCTGGCAAACAAGGAGCATGCCAACCATGGCGTAGGCGTACATGTAAGCCGTCCCTGAATTCACTCCTGGGCAGAGCAAAGCCATGCCTCAGCAACGAGGCTACAAGTGAGCTAAGAGGATTCTTTCTTTTCTGTTGCCAGGTTTAAGACTGCATAGTGGAGGTTAAAGACTGCATAGTGGAGGTCAAAGACTGCATAGTGGAGGTCAAAGACTGCGTAGTGGAGGTCAAAGACTGCGTGGTGGAGGTCAAAAGACTGCATAGTGGAGGTCAAAAACTGCATAGTGGAGGTCAAAGACTGCATAGTGGAGGTCAAAGACTGCATAGTGGAGATCAAAGACTGCATAGTGGAGGTTAAAGACTGCAGGGTGGTCCCCCATAGACAGTTGTTCCCGCAGATCATCAGTCCGTTGAAGTCATCGTGTCTCGCCTCGCTTATTCGTATTCCCACAGTACCTGCTTCCTGTGCGAGTGTACTGCGACATCAGCGCTCTCGTTTCTGTGATGTGCAGCTGCAGCTGGCCATGCACGCTATACAGATAGGCATGATGTGGATTAGTTTGTGTTGTTGTTCTCCTCTATCCTACCTGTATGCAGTAGTGGTCAACTCCATAGCGAGTCGGACACCGTGCCAGAGCGTGTGTGCCGCGCTGTTGGGCATTGCCTGCAGCTGCTGCTGCTGTTGGAGACGTGCCAGCCCCACTGCATTGCTCCAATGCCTGTCAGTGTCAAGGTTGCCAGGCTCTTCTGTGTCTTCCTTGTGGGTACGTCTGCCAGCATACTGTAAATACACACATTTTTGGCAGCTATTTTATTTCGGCTATATTCGGCACCGACCCAAAACGCCAAAATTAAAACGCTGATGAAATTTTCACATCGGCTTTGGTGATGTACTAGTATTAACCCCCGTGCCGAAAGTAAATCGTTGCCAAAATGTTGAAAATCTTGAAGTGCCGAAATTTTGTACACTATATTTACAGTACATGCACCCGACAAAATACTGTGCTTGGTAGAAATCCCACAGTCCTGCACAAATTAAGACGATACCGCTCGGGCGTACCCTTCTCTGTGTGCGGCCATATATCCATAGCAGTGTGTTTTGTTCAGAAGACCCTCTTCAAACTGAACACAGGTTTGCTCTATCGCGTGCCGTGCGTGCCCAAGCAGTGCATCACAGCCCTGAAACTGTTTCCATGAAATGACAAATGATGTGACTACTGAACTGGAGGTGTGTTGTATTTAAACCACACCAGTTCTGTCCCCCTCATTCTTCCTTGCAAAAATAAGTGATAGGTTGCCGTTAGCGCTAAATCTCATCACGCGCCTTTCTATTGCAGTACACAAGTATACGAGGTTCTGACTGTCTTTGCTTTATTCCAATGGTAATGTGTCCGCTGATGAGAGTAGGTTGAACATCTTTTGGGAAATGCTTTGGCTGTCATGGAATTAGCAACTTTGTTGCTGTGTGTAATTGAATGTTTTTGGTGTGTTTGTCTGTTTTAAAAATTATCCTTTCTTGTCTTGCAACACAGGTGCTAACTTGTTCCTGCAGTCTGACATACAGCAGAGCCTGGTGGCCCTGTTGCAGCTGTACACCAAGCCAGACTGTCTAGAGCGGTTGAATTTCAACCAGCCCATCCCTGGCCTTGCCTCCTTCTATGACCTGTGAGTGCCGTTCATATGATGTTGTGGGTATGACCTGTGAGTGCCGTTCATATGATGTTGTGGGTATTACATACTGTGAGTGCCGTTCATATGATGGTGTGGGTATGACCTGTGAGTGCCGTTCATATGATGGTGTGGGTATGACCTGTGAGTGCCGTTCATATGATGGTGTGGGTATGACCTGTGAGTGCCGTTCATATGATGGTGTGGGTATGACCTGTGAGTGCCGTTCATATGATGGTGTGGGTATGACCTGTGAGTGCCGTTCATATGATGTTGTGGGTATTACATACTGTGAGTGCCGTTCATATGATGGTGTGGGTATGACCTGTGAGTGCCGTTCATATGATGGTGTGGGTATGACCTGTGAGTGCCGTTCATAATTATGATGTTGTGGGTATGACCTGTGAGTGCCGTTCATATGATGGTGTGGGTATGACCTGTGAGTGCCGTTCATAATTATGATGTTGTGGGTATGACCTGTGAGTGCCGTTCATATGATGGTGTGGGTATGACCTGTGAGTGCCGTTCATATGATGGTGTGGGTATGACCTGTGAGTGCCGTTCATATGATGGTGTGGGTATGACCTGTGAGTGCCGTTCATATGATGGTGTGGGTATGACCTGTGAGTGCCGTTCATATGATGTTGTGGGTATGACCTGTGAGTGCCGTTCATATGATGGTGTGGGTATGACCTGTGAGTGCCGTTCATATGATGTTGTGGGTATTACATACTGTGAGTGCCGTTCATATGATGGTGTGGGTATGACCTGTGAGTGCCGTTCATATGATGGTGTGGGTATGACCTGTGAGTGCCGTTCATATGATGGTGTGGGTATGACCTGTGAGTGCCGTTCATATGATGGTGTGGGTATGACCTGTGAGTGTCGTTCATATGATGGTGTGGGTATGACCTGTGAGTGCCGTTCATATGATGGTGTGGGTATGACCTGTGAGTGCCGTTCATATGATGGTGTGGGTATGACCTGTGAGTGCCGTTCATATGATGGTGTTGGTATGACCTGTGAGTGCCGTTCATATGATGGTGTGGGTATGACCTGTGAGTGCCGTTCATATGATGGTGTGGGTATGACCTGTGAGTGCCGTTCATATGATGGTGTGGGTATGACCTGTGAGTGCCGTTCATATGATGGTGTGGGTATGACCTGTGAGTGCCGTTCATATGATGGTGTGGGTATGACCTGTGAGTGCCGTTCATATGATGGTGTGGGTATGACCTGTGAGTGCCGTTCATATGATGGTGTGGGTATGACCTGTGAGTGCCGTTCATATGATGGTGTGGGTATGACCTGTGAGTGCCGTTCATATGATGGTGTGGGTATGACCTGTGAGTGCCGTTCATATGATGGTGTGGGTATGACCTGTGAGTGCCGTTCATATGATGGTGTGGGTATGACCTGTGAGTGCCGTTCATATGATGGTGTGGGTATGACCTGTGAGTGCCGTTCATATGATGGTGTGGGTATGACCTGTGAGTGCCGTTCATATGATGGTGTGGGTATGACCTGTGAGTGCCGTTCATATGATGGTGTGGGTATGACCTGTGAGTGCCGTTCATATGATGGTGTGGGTATGACCTGTGAGTGCCGTTCATATGATGGTGTGGGTATGACCTGTGAGTGCCGTTCATATGATGGTGTGGGTATGACCTGTGAGTGCCGTTCATATGATGGTGTGGGTATGACCTGTGAGTGCCGTTCATATGATGGTGTGGGTATGACCTGTGAGTGCCGTTCATATGATGGTGTGGGTATGACCTGTGAGTGCCGTTCATATGATGGTGTGGGTATGACCTGTGAGTGCCGTTCATATGATGGTGTGGGTATGACCTGTGAGTGCCGTTCATATGATGGTGTGGGTATGACCTGTGAGTGCCGTTCATATGATGGTGTGGGTATGACCTGTGAGTGCCGTTCATATGATGGTGTGGGTATGACCTGTGAGTGCCGTTCATATGATGGTGTGGGTATGACCTGTGAGTGCCGTTCATATGATGGTGTGGGTATGACCTGTGAGTGCCGTTCATATGATGGTGTGGGTATGACCTGTGAGTGCCGTTCATATGATGGTGTGGGTATGACCTGTGAGTGCCGTTCATATGATGGTGTGGGTATGACCTGTGAGTGCCGTTCATATGATGGTGTGGGTATGACCTGTGAGTGCCGTTCATATGATGGTGTGGGTATGACCTGTGAGTGCCGTTCATATGATGGTGTGGGTATGACCTGTGAGTGCCGTTCATATGATGGTGTGGGTATGACCTGTGAGTGCCGTTCATATGATGGTGTGGGTATGACCTGTGAGTGCCGTTCATATGATGGTGTGGGTATGACCTGTGAGTGCCGTTCATATGATGGTGTGGGTATGACCTGTGAGTGCCGTTCATATGATGGTGTGGGTATGACCTGTGAGTGCCGTTCATATGATGGTGTGGGTATGACCTGTGAGTGCCGTTCATATGATGGTGTGGGTATGACCTGTGAGTGCCGTTCATATGATGGTGTGGGTATGACCTGTGAGTGCCGTTCATATGATGGTGTGGGTATGACCTGTGAGTGCCGTTCATATGATGGTGTGGGTATGACCTGTGAGTGCCGTTCATATGATGGTGTGGGTATGACCTGTGAGTGCCGTTCATATGATGGTGTGGGTATGACCTGTGAGTGCCGTTCATATGATGGTGTGGGTATGACCTGTGAGTGCCGTTCATATGATGGTGTGGGTATGACCTGTGAGTGCCGTTCATATGATGGTGTGGGTATGACCTGTGAGTGCCGTTCATATGATGGTGTGGGTATGACCTGTGAGTGCCGTTCATATGATGGTGTGGGTATGACCTGTGAGTGCCGTTCATATGATGGTGTGGGTATGACCTGTGAGTGCCGTTCATATGATGGTGTGGGTATGACCTGTGAGTGCCGTTCATATGATGGTGTGGGTATGACCTGTGAGTGCCGTTCATATGATGGTGTGGGTATGACCTGTGAGTGCCGTTCATATGATGGTGTGGGTATGACCTGTGAGTGCCGTTCATATGATGGTGTGGGTATGACCTGTGAGTGCCGTTCATATGATGGTGTGGGTATGACCTGTGAGTGCCGTTCATATGATGGTGTGGGTATGACCTGTGAGTGCCGTTCATATGATGGTGTGGGTATGACCTGTGAGTGCCGTTCATATGATGGTGTGGGTATGACCTGTGAGTGCCGTTCATATGATGGTGTGGGTATGACCTGTGAGTGCCGTTCATATGATGGTGTGGGTATGACCTGTGAGTGCCGTTCATATGATGGTGTGGGTATGACCTGTGAGTGCCGTTCATATGATGGTGTGGGTATGACCTGTGAGTGCCGTTCATATGATGGTGTGGGTATGACCTGTGAGTGCCGTTCATATGATGGTGTGGGTATGACCTGTGAGTGCCGTTCATATGATGGTGTGGGTATGACCTGTGAGTGCCGTTCATATGATGGTGTGGGTATGACCTGTGAGTGCCGTTCATATGATGGTGTGGGTATGACCTGTGAGTGCCGTTCATATGATGGTGTGGGTATGACCTGTGAGTGCCGTTCATATGATGGTGTGGGTATGACCTGTGAGTGCCGTTCATATGATGGTGTGGGTATGACCTGTGAGTGCCGTTCATATGATGGTGTGGGTATGACCTGTGAGTGCCGTTCATATGATGGTGTGGGTATGACCTGTGAGTGCCGTTCATATGATGGTGTGGGTATGACCTGTGAGTGCCGTTCATATGATGGTGTGGGTATGACCTGTGAGTGCCGTTCATATGATGGTGTGGGTATGACCTGTGAGTGCCGTTCATATGATGGTGTGGGTATGACCTGTGAGTGCCGTTCATATGATGGTGTGGGTATGACCTGTGAGTGCCGTTCATATGATGGTGTGGGTATGACCTGTGAGTGCCGTTCATATGATGTTGTGGGTATGACCTGTGAGTGCCGTTCATATGATGGTGTGGGTATGACCTGTGAGTGCCGTTCATATGATGGTGTGGGTATTACATTGTCAAGTACAACAGTTACAACTGAAGCGGCGTGTAACGGTTATGAGACTTATTTCCACACCCTTAGGAGTGTCATCAGCTACGCAGGTACGCAGCCAAATACATGTATGATCAGTAGGGCCTGTTGTCAGGCACATCACCTGGCATGTTTCCTTTCTTGCTCAGCCAGCTGCATCCGCACAATGACTGGGTGCACGTGACACGACTTGAACCCACGTGTAGGGAGCTACTGAAGTACCTTACTTCGAAATTCCGGAAACTTGAGTTGCGACAAACTCTACAAACCTCCTTTGTGCCTTTTTGTGCATAATAGTGCACAATAGTGCTCCACTTTATTGTGTGGAGCCCTCTCCGCTGGCAAAAGGAAACCTCTTCGTACTTCTAGACATGTGTTTTTCGTCATGAACAATTTTCCAACTAAGGTCCCGTATATTGCATAGCAGTGCGGTACTTTGTACGTGTGACTGTTTTTTCATCATGGGTATCAGCAGCATGCTGAGTTATTGACGTGTGACTGTTCATCATGGGTACCAGCAGCATGCTAAGCTGTTGACGTGTGTGATTTGCTACCTGCAGCTACTCCTCACTTGTGACCCAGTACGATGCTGTATCGTATGGCAACGACCTGTTTGCATCGTACCTCGTCCTGCCCATTCAGCAGGCATGTCCTGTTTCACTACGCCGCTTGCTGTGGCAGGATAACGCAACTGTGCTGCAGACTATCAGCCTCACTGTCGCACAGGTGAGACACGGCGTGACGTGCATGGGAAGCTAGTTTACTCTTGTTTGCGGGGATATGAAGATGACCATGTGCGAAGTGCTTTGTCGTCGCAATGAATCGTGCTGTTGTGTCTTTCGACACTCTTTATCTGATCATTGATCGTGTTACACAGTGGCATTTTATCTGAAGCCTAGAGTTCTTTACTGCCTGCTGCTGCCCCCCCCCCCCCCAAATACCTGGTCCAGTCCCCCATACCTGGTCCAGTTGTGCTGTGTAGGAGTTACTTCGAAGTATATGGCATATAAAATTTAGAAATCTTGGCGTTGACCACATTCTGCTGTTGTGGTTGCTCTACTTCAGTCTCCTGTTCCTCTAGATCGGTTTCTTGAACCCAGCGAGCAGGATACCATGCTGCTACAGCTCTATCTACAAGCACTGGCCCATGCCATTGTCAGGCAAGCTACTCTGTGTGTGTGTGTATGTGTGTGTGTGTCTGTGTGTGTGTGTGTGTGTGTGTGTGTGTGTGCGTGCACGCGCTTGCGTGTGTGTGTGTGTGTAGTCTTTGTCCAAGGAAGTTAAGACGCTTTCTTCGTCCCGTATTCCCAATCGGACTCATGCACTTTCCTCGAAACTGGGCAGGTAACACCTCATAGCATGAAAAGAAAATCAGCCAGTACGGGAGATGTGGATATGTCGGGACACCGGCCATGCTGGTCGTACGGAACGAGAAAACGCTGCTACCAGTTTTGTAGAACCATTGCTACCAATGTAAAACAGGTGGGGTCGAATCTGACAAAGTTGACCTTGACCACCGCTGCCACCAATTTTGTAGCGGGCCGCAGTCTCTCGGGGGTAAGAATATGCAAGGGTCTCAGTGAACACACTGTAACTGGCAATTGAAATGTAACTATAACTGACAATGAAATTAACTGGCTACTTAATTAACTGACTGGCAACAAAATAATCGTGAGCAGCAGCTTTAATGCACAGGCAAACTCCGTACACTAGTGTACGGGGATACGCTAACATACGGGGATATAGTAACGTACGGGAATATGCTGACATACGGGGATACAATAACGTACGGAAATATGCTATACGCTATACGCTGTGACGTCACCAGCGTGCCAACGCTACACACCCTACTATGGGGATTTGTTTGGGAAAAATTCGTTCTGATAGAAACACGAACCTGAAACTCCCAGAACCTGTAGTCTTCTGGACGCTGAATCGAATGGTCTTGGTCCGATGAAGCTGCGAGACAGCGTTCAGCCTTTATTCCCAAACTTAAATACTGTATGGGATTTGCTCTTTCGTGTCCCGTTCAGTAGAAGAAATGTTGTATCTAGACTCACCTAGACCACACCCAATGCTGTAGACAGCAAGCTGTTTCGGCCATAAAGGCCTCATCGGTACAACCAGGAGCTAAAAAGTAAGGCGAGTTGGCAGCCATGGTGCAAAGGTGGCACCTAGAGTACATAAACCAGTGTACTCTTGTAGTAGTTGAGCACTCTCATGTGGGGTAGTGCCTTTGCTGCTTGCATTACGCAGAGCTCACTGACTTGTCAGTTTGAGCACTCTGGCAAGGTACGTTCGGGCCTGATTGGAAATTTTTATTTTCATTGCTATCAGGTTCGGCCTCATTTCCTCTGTGCTGCGCTGATGAGTTCACAAAGAACGAAACAGCATGCTGTCCGCAGATTGAGTAAACCAGAGTACATGTACATAAACCAGAGTTGCAACTCCGCATCTACGAGGTTGATCCGCATCCCGTATGCTGCATAAAACCACTCCCACGGTGAAGTTTTGGTTTAGGTCATTATGAATGACACTGAGAAAAAGGACACAACTCAGGCTCTTCAACATCATCTTGAAGTTTTGAAGTAGTGAAAAACTTTGAACATGATGTTGGAGAGCCTGAAGTGTGTCCCTTTTCTCAGTGTCATTGCATTCTTGTCTTCGAGGAGACTCTCATTATGAATCATAGGATAACCCGTCAAGGGCTGTCGTACTGTGGGTTGCGTGCCCAACTCACCGTATCGCTAAGGTGATTCCAGGAAATGCAAGTGCATTCTCACCATTTGTACAACATGCAGCAATGCGCAATAGAAATTACCTACACGATGTGGTAAAAATGATCGTGTGAACCGGAATGAGATGCTGCAATGGCTAGTTGCAAGTATGACCTACTAGTAATAAAAAAACTTTGCCATGGGCTCATTCTCCTGGAGTTTCACCAAGAGTACATATTTACTACATGATGTACTCTTGGTTGCACTGTTATGTACTCTTTGTTGTGCATGTATCGTGTGAATTCCGTTTCCTGTAGTGTACTTCAAAAGAAGCTAATGTGCTAGGTTGGTATTGTTGTGCTGTTTTGTTTGCTTGTGCTGCAGACCACAGAGTTCACTGCTTTACTGTATTGCTGTTCATCACATCAGCTCCTACTTGTTTGTCGGTGATGGGGTAAGTGAAATCTCTCCTTACAACCATCGCGATCACCCACCCCACCCATCCTCTGTGTGTGTGTGCGTGCATGCGTGGTGTCGTGCTAGGCACCAAGGTGCAGAGCTGCATACTCTTACGGAAATGGGGGAGTCTTGATCCCTTGATACAGCATACCACCGTACAAAGGCGCCACGGAATGTGAAAGTGAACCACCGCATGTACCAGTACTAGTGCCGGCAGTGGACACCAAAGCATGGCCGTACGGTATTATTCTAGGTCATGGGCTCTTAGCAGTGTTGCCCAGCAGTGTTGCCCAGCAGTGTTGCCCAGAGCGCAAGTCTGTATACCAGGTGTCTACTTCGAAGTTTTTCTACGTTCATCATGCTGGGGTTGTGGGGTTGTTTGTGAGCAATGTGTGAAACAGACCTATAAGCACGTACTCCTGTCTGTGTGCTGGTTACAGGTTGGAAATACTGCACAGGTATCACAAGCAATGAAAGGATTTCTCCTCACGCAACAGAATCAGGTGAGCGTTGTTGTTGTTGTTGTTTCACGATAGCCAGTGGCCAATAAGAGGTGTTGTTGTTGTTGTTGTTGTTGTTGTTGTTGTTGTTGTTGTTGTCGTCGCCATTCGTGTTGTCGTTGTTGCCGTCGTCGTCTTTGTTTCATTGTTGTTGCTGCTTTTCCTGCTGTTGTCGTGAGTGTATGCGTTTGTGCAATCGCTGGTCCGTATGCACACATTGTTGCTGTAGAGCTGTTTATCTAGCCGGATTGATTTGTGCTGCTGTTGCTGCTGCTGCTGGTGTCGTTGCATTGCTACAGGGTGTCTACCACCATGTTGTGCACTACAAGTGTGCGAACGCGGCCTCGCCTCTGGGTTTTGATTGCCACGCATCACTGCCTACCTGCAGAGGTAACATTTTAGCCGCAGAAGTTCGCCGTGCTGGCCTTGACTCTGGCCTGGCACAGGCTGTAAAGCAGCTTCATCCCGATGTTTATGATTTGTCAGCCAGCTCTGTCTGAAGGACTAGCCGGCACTTATCGTCTATCCGACAAGTCTCCGAATACAGCACTTTCTCCTTTGATGAAAGGACTTTCTTTCTTCACGAGACGGCGCTTTTCAACAGGTGTGTCACAAGCCTGTTCATGTTTCACTCTTTTTAGTTCTGAAAACTATTCTTCTTGTGCTGTGCACATGAGCGGGATTATTTGATCGGGTGTGCTGTTCTGCCTTGTTTGAAGAAGTACCTGGATGTGTTTTATACTCTATTTATTTTTACACCCTCTGAGGTGAAACCTGCATATTGAGCTGACCAGGGTGTTTGCGTTGCGTTATACATTTCTACTACTTGTAATGCTCATTTACTGCGGCCTTAAAACATCCTTCTTGAGAGAGACTTCTGAATGGTGGAGAATACAATGCATGCACACACTTCACCTTTCGTGAAGGTTATCTTTAGACTATTATTACCCCCCCCCCCCCCTCCCCTTCTCCTCACACACACGCGCTTCATGCGAAGGCTATCTTTAGACAATTAACCCCGCCCCTTCTCTACAAGTGCATGCACACACCACCACAACAGACTAGACACACCACAACAGACTACAAGGCACTACAAGGCACTTTGACAAGGCACATTTTCCAGAGCAAATCCACCGAATAAGGGTCTCTAAAGAGAGGCACAGAAGAAACGATGCAGTGCTGGAACAGCATTAAAGACATGTCCACAACTGCTTTCCGACATTTCCTAGATAAAATAGAATTAGAAAATAGAGAATGCAGCGTATCGTATAGTACTAATAAAAACAGGATAAGGATCATTTTTGGTAAATTTAAAAAAAAAACATTCAAAAACATCACATGCACGTATTGCCTTCGAGATCAGAAGGAGAGTGGGGACAAGACAAATGACGGCCTAAGTCACATGTTCTGCTGACATGATCTATGAGTAGCTAGCTGTAGTGTAGGTAGTAACTATGGTATGTTTCATGGTTTCATGATGATGGTCATGTGTTGTGTATATTACGTTCAGATGATGATGAGGAGGATGTGCAGCAGCAGAACAGTGAAGTTCTGCCTTTCATAAAGCGGCTGTAACCTAACGTAGCAGAATGCACCTGAAACACGCAAATCCTTTGGCGACCCACTCTGCTCATTCACTTGCAGGCAAATGCACTGAAGACGTCGTCCGCAGCAGTGTAGCTAAGCAAAACCAAAGCGGCAAGTCATCGTCATGCACTGCTGGTACTACTGGTTGCGGTGGTGGTGGCTGCGGGGTTTGAGGGGTTCTTTGCCACTCTTGCGTCGCCGTGCGAGTTCCAGATCTTGTAGCCATCCGCCACTAACTCACGACCTGCAAGTGAGTGGAAACGAAAACAGCATGAAGCAGAAGGCATTCAATTTCCGTACACAGTGCGATTATAAGATCGACACACCGGAAGCATTGCAATGACAAACACATCCCCGAGAGAAGAGTGTGGCATTCCATCACACTAGTGTAGTAGTGACAGTTACAAAACGTTCTTACTCAGTGACAATTTGTAGCGAGAGTTTGGGTAGAGTGAGACGGCCTTGGGATCCAACATGCATCCACTCAGCGTGTGGTCGAGAATACGAAAGTTTAGCTGTAGCACATGGATGGAGAGGCAAGAAGAACAGTAATCAACCTTGGCCCGACCCAATCTACAGTTTGCCAACCGGCATAACGCTTGGGAAACAGTGGAGGCACAGTTAGGCATTGCAGTCGGCCAATTACACCAGATGTTCAACAGCTCCATGATTTTATCCTTGGCTACTGAGTACTGAGTACTTGATGCTCTTCAAGTTCTTCTTGTGATCTCTGGGGATTTTCTCCACACCATTGGGCTTGTCTTTACTTCACAATTCTCCTCATCTACTGTTAGCTAAAACATAGTTTTAGAATTCAGGCAGTTTTAGGATTCTGGTGGCTCAGCTCTTATAAATCTACTTGGGTTTCAGATGCCTTTGTGCGCAGGGTGCGTCTGCATGCTATGCTGCTGCATGCACAGCTATTTCAAAGTTTTAGTGTAGAACTAAACTTTTCTAAGGATTCTAACTCTATTGCAGCCATTTGCACATTACTTTTCTCAATCCAACCTCTCCCGCATGGTGCCTCTGCTGCAAAAGTCACATCAGGTTCACCGAATATTCAGCCCTAGCCCACTGTCGGGGTAAAGCAGTCGACATTGACGATGAACCTGATTTGAGTTTTGCAGCAGAGAGACCATTCGTGCGAGTTTGGAGCGAGAAAAGTAATATAAGGAAGTGAATTCAAATAAGCATAATCCTGAACACAGCGCATACGGCCTACGGCCAGCTCACCTCTGCGTATGCGTTGAGACCAACACAGAATGGATCTTCTACGAATTCGTCGGCGCCAGATGGTGTTTTCGCTGCACCATCGGCCGCTGGTGCAGATGCAGCGGTGGCGCCAGTGCTGGTGTTTGTGGCAGTGCTGCTGCTGCTTGCTGAGGTTGTAGCACTGGCTGTGCTACCACCACCGCCATCAGCACCAGCACCGGCAACATCATCTTGGAAAGTTACCGTTGCATTGAGCGACACTTCCAATGATCGACTGGGGAACTTCTGACCTGAGACGTAAACAGGAAAGTGACGGCACATGATAATGTCACTGTGTGTTGATGATGATGATGATGATGATGATGATGATGATGATTTTTTTTTTTTTTTTTCATGATGAAGCCACTTCTTTGGGCAAACAAAACACAATTTCCCAAGATGAAGGAGTGGAACCCTACACAAATAATAGTTTAAATGAATCCAACGCAAAGATCGTTTTTCCATGAAATACAACAAATGAACACAATTACATGCTTAAAGGCATGAAAGCAACAAAACAGCAACAAAAGGGTAAGCGCCATACCAATCCCGCATGCACAGTCAGGACACAGCACGATACTTAACAAACTAGACCTGACTCGGCCACGGCAATCGAGACATCATGAAAACATCTCGCCGGATGGTGGTACCGTGACCGAGCCCCACGTATGCACAACACAGCAGCACGCAGCAAAGCAAAAGACAGCCGACAGCGGAGTAAACCAATGACCTGGGAATAGTGAGATCCCGATGACTCGGCCTGCATCTGGCACAGTCTCTTGAGGAACACATTGCACAGCCTCCCACAACCACCATGCACAGAGAACACGAGAGGTGTGAAAGCGGCTCTTTCTACATTTGTGACTCTTGGCCCATATTCGTTCCACTTACGCCGCTCGTGCTGCTGGTACAATGCAGGAAGGGTTCTGGACCCGTAGGAAGGAGCATCTGGGCAAAATACCCTTACATCAAAAAAAGCTTCCTCCCCACGGGTCCAAAACCCTCGAGCGGCTATGTCCAGGCGCGCATCCTCTCGGCGGTTCGTTGACCGAAGAGGAAACCTCTCACCAGAAAGAGGTTGCAGCGCTGGTTCTGTCGAAACGGCAGTGCAGACTTCAGTCAATTCCCTCGCCAGCAGGTCACGTATCTCGTTATGACGAAGTGTCGGGAAGCCGCCCCTGGCGCAACATAGCTGATGCTCAACTGAGAACAGCTCACCACACACACAGGTTGCTGGTGTATTGGCTAGCGGCCATGCATATCTCAATGCCAGAGCATCCCGGAAGTCACGCTTGGTGAGACGAAAGCCATGCTCCGCCAGGGGCAGCACGCTCAGCCATGAGGATGATCCTTTCTCCGTGTGTTCTTCTATTCGTCGCTTCGTCATCTCATCGCTCGTGTCCACTATTTTGTTCCTGGCTGCCTTTGCGCGCTCCCGGTTTTCGGTGTGGACGACACGCTTTTTGTGACGCATTTCATCGATGATGATCGATGATGATGATGATGATGATGATGATGATGATGCCATAATGATGTTCGCGATTGGGAGGATCTTCCCCATCGTACAGCCAACAGGAAATCCGAAGCTCGCCTCGATGTGAGGGCGCGGGGTTTCTGGTCCACGCAGCAGGAGGCTTTTTTTGATGTTCGGGTGACTCACCCAAAGCCAAACCTGCTGTCGCGTCCAGAAGTCCAGCGCCATCTCCAAAAGCATGAAGGCATGAAAAAGCGGGAATACGGAGCGCGTGTTGTGAATATAGACCGAGGCACGTTCACCCCGTTGGTTTTCGCCACGAATGGCATGTGTGGCCGGGAGGCAGACCGCTTTCTCAAGTGTCTTGCAGCCCAGTATGTCGATAAACACAGTGACTTGGCCTACTCGCTGGTTATGGGTCGATTGCGGTGCCTGCTCTCGTTCACTTTACTCCGTTGGGCAGTGACCTGTTTTCGTGGCTGCCGTAGCTCCTACCAGAAAAAGTCAGTCAAGAATTTCAGGAGTTATTGTTTGATGGGTCGTTAGATAGAGGCTGGTGTTTGTGAGACTGCAATCATTTAATGTTTCTTCCTTAGTGGTGTAGGTAGATTCTGTTTTGTAAGCATAGTAGGACTACTTTTGTTTTGTAAGTCAATCTCATTCTCCACGCTTTGCTGTCATTTGGTTATGTTTTCAAGTAGTTTTTATGACCTGATGTTTGTTTTTTATATTTGTAGTTCTATTGTTGACATCTTTTGTCTTTTCTTTGGGTTAAAAGGTTAACTTCATGCTCGTTTTCTTATGATGATGATGATGATGATGATGATGATGATGATGATGATGATGATGATGTTAGTGGCCCAGAAACTACTCAATTCCTGAAATCATTGGCCTCCCTGTTTGTTGAGCGCCATACTGAACTGAAGTACCCACTAGTAATGGGCATACTACGCACCCGTTTGTCTTTCTGCTTGCTGCGATGGGCAGTCACCTGCTTCCGCGGTTGCCGCGGTTCGTACGGCAAGAGGCGACAGCCGAACTCATTTCTGGCCCAGTGCCGCCAGGCGGAGTAGGGTGCTGCCTTTGGCCTCAACTTAATATAATGCTATTTTGGTTTTTTCCCCTTTTATTACTCTGTGTTCATTGCTTGTTTTTGTATTGATTTACTTCCTTGACTGCTTTTGTGTTTCATCATTTTCCGGTTGGTTTTGTGTTGATTTCCCCTGTTCACTTTACATATTGTAATGATATACATTTGCTTTGCCCGTAAAAGAGGCTTTTCTCATGATGATGATGATGAGTACCTAGTCATGTGCAAGGTGCCTATGGGAATTAGCATTACACACAGTCAGAGCTATACTACACTGCAAATACAGTACTGATCAATGAAATCCAATCAAGCGAGTGAATGCCACGCCGGGCAGCGCTGTACAGCCCTAGGCCTGCGAACACTGGGATGGTGAACTGGTGCAGGGCGCAAACTAACTTGATTCACTCGACCCCCGCATTTCATTCAGCAGCACTGTACTAGCAAGTCACACACTGATACCATGTAGCTTGCATTGAGTGGTGAGTGTTCACACACTGATACCATGTAGCTTGAATTGAGTGGTGAGTGTTCACACACTGATACCATGTAGCTTGAATTGAGTGGTGAGTGTTCACACACTGATACCATGTAGCTTGAATTGAGTGGTGAGTGTTCACACACTGATACCATGTAGCTTGAATTGAGTGGTGAGTGTTCACACACTGATACCATGTAGCTTGAATTGAGTGGTGAGTGTTCACACACTGATACCATGTAGCTTGAATTGAGTGGTGAGTGTTCACACACTGATACCATGTAGCTTGAATTGAGTGGTGAGTGTTCACACACTCATACCATGTAGCTTGAATTGAGTGGTGAGTGTTCACACACTGATACCATGTAGCTTGAATTGAGTGGTGAGTGTTCACACACTGATACCATGTAGCTTGAATTGAGTGGTGAGTGTTCACACACTGATACCATGTAGCTTGAATTGGGTGGTGAGTGTTCACACACTGATACCATGTAGCTTGAATTGAGTGGTGAGTGTTCACACACTGATACCATGTAGCTTGAATTGAGTGGTGAGTGTTCACACACTGATACCATGTAGCTTGAATTGAGTGGTGAGTGTTCACACACTGATACCATGTAGCTTGAATTGAGTGGTGAGTGTTCACACACTGATACCATGTAGCTTGAATTGAGTGGTGAGTGTTCACACACTGATACCATGTAGCTTGAATTGAGTGGTGAGTGTTCACACACTGATACCATGTAGCTTGAATTGAGTGGTGAGTGTTCACACACTGATACCATGTAGCTTGAATTGAGTGGTGAGTGTTCACACACTGATACCATGTAGCTTGAATTGAGTGGTGAGTGTTCACACACTGATACCATGTAGCTTGAATTGAGTGGTGAGTGTTCACACACTGATACCATGTAGCTTGAATTGAGTGGTGAGTGTTCACACACTGATACCATGTAGCTTGAATTGAGTGGTGAGTGTTCACACACTGATACCATGTAGCTTGAATTGAGTGGTGAGTGTTCACACACTGATACCATGTAGCTTGAATTGAGTGGCGAGTGTTGCACATGGTCCAGGGTCTGTGCAACACTCAACCACAATCGAGAATGCCACCTGCTAACCAGCTCAAGCTAGTTGTGGTATACTTTGAAGAACATGAGCATGCACAACGCAGCCCTGCCCAGGCAACTGGAGTGTGTCGCCCGGGAGTGAGTGTGTCCCCGGGAGTGAGTGTGTCGCCCGGGAGTGAGACCCACGTCATCTCATACTACAACCGGCCTTATCATCTCCCACTCTCCCTAGATGATACAAGTTCCAGAACACGCACGCGCACGCACGCACACACACACGCACGCGCGCACACACACACACACACACACACACACACACACACACACACACACACACACACACACACAAGCGCGCACGCATGCATGCACAGGTCACAGTGCAGCAAGAGCACTGCAGAGGTACCTAATGATGAGAGTTCAGAGCAACACTTGCACACAGCTTACCAATGGTCCAGATGAGCGTCCTCTGGTTAGGCGAAATGGCTACCTGTGCTGTGCGTGGCAGAAACTCTACATTGGACACCGGTGGCCTGTAACAGTCCATTGAAGAGATCAGAATTAACACCCCACTAGATACAGACATGTATTTATATCAGGGTTATAACGTTAGCTGCACAGCCACATAACATGGCAGCGCTGCAGCTTGTAGGTATACACTGAGCTGGATATACAACACGAAAGATGAAGCAACAGAACGAGTCGTTACAGCTACATAGCTGCAGTTGTACACTCTTGGTCGTCTGGTTGCCAATCTTTTTTTCAAAAAGAAAAGTTGTGGTTTGGGGGTGGGTTTTAGGGGTCGTCCATGAATATCGAACTTTTTTCACGAAACGAAATGACTTCGTTATGGGGTGGGAGGGGGTTGACCAATTTCGTTTAAAAAAACATTGATTCAAGTACATGGCTGTTGTATATGTATGTATGTCAACATTTTTTACGTTCTGAGGGGGAGGGAGGGAGGGGTTGGGTCTAAACTAAAATAATTTGTTTCGTGAAAAAAGTTCGATATTTACGGACGGCCCCTTACCTTAGGAGTTTCGTTCTGAAAATAATTATTGAATGCACATAGAGATTGCCCAGATGCTCCAGGGTGCCGGAGATTTAAATTAGTATTTTGTTGAAGTTCGTTTTTCCTGCAGAAAGGGCGGGTGGTTAGGGCTAAAGAATACTTTAAAAAATCGGTTTGAAAATCGGCACTGGTACCTACAGCGGGAATTTCATGTGTTTTATTTCGATACGGAAATTCAGCACTTATTTTTAAGTCTCTCCCTTATATAAGTAGGAAAATAAGCCCCTATCTGCAATAAGGATTGGGTTTGACAAATTTCGAAAAGATTTAAAAGCCCCACGGGGCTTATTCCAAGAAACAACTTCACGTGGGTAAAGGAGATCAATAATCATCCCTAAATCATACGCACATGTCAAGTAGCAAGGGCACGTAACGTTCTTACCGATTGAAAAACGGAAGCCTCAGCTCGCAAAAGTCAAACGAGTTCTTCACTCCTGCGGCGAGTTTCAGCTGAACAAGTAGTTTGACAGTTCTATCGCCCTGGGTTTGACAGAGGGCAAACAAGACAGAAACACACACGACACTGGTACAATGTAGGCACCTACACATTGTGTGTACGGTGGACAACTGCTGCACGCTATACCAGTGTATCAGTACTAGAGTAAGTTACCATGCACATCCCAAAACAACAATTGGCAGCAAACCGTCCAACAGCAGAGATGAACAGTTACTACTGCATGCACTTCAAGGATATTAATGAACTATCCAGCGCAGATGAAGACGATACGCTAAAATCCCCCATCCCCCATGAAGCACAATCATACCGGTACATACACAACACTAAAATCCAACATCCCCAGTGAAGCACATACCAGTACATACAGTCATACACGTCTTACAGCTGCAGCACATGTACGGGATACCCGTATGAGGTACCCGTTCAATGCCAACTCCAGACATAGAGAAGTACAAACAGGTAATAAATCAGTACACACATGTACACACGCACACACACACGCACACACACACGCACACACACGCACACACACACACACACACACACACACACACACACACACACACACACACACACACACACACACACACACACACACACACACACTCAGCTGTTCCCACCTTCATCTGGTAAAAGCCGCGTATAGGCAACGGCGGGTCTTCCGCCTTGTACTGGCACAGCGTGAAGAGGTCGGCGGGCGGGTGCAGCGTCATTTTCCGCGTCAATTGCACTGTGGCTGTTGCTGTCGCCGCCGCTGATGTGACGGGTAGTGGTGATGTACTGCGTGGAGAGGACGGTTGTCGTGCCGGGTGAGCTTCACTGTTCTGTACACACGGGTGCACGAGCAGGTAGGAGATTGGGTGGCAGTTCGGTGGTGTCATCACACCCACGGTAAGCTCCGGATTGGCTTCCAATTCCGCCTGCACAAAACCATACGGGCAATGGTTCAAAAAGACATGTTGACTGTGTACATGTAAATCACCTATCACTACACCGGATAGACCATCATCACACAATGGACTTTCACACCATGGAACCTTTGTCAACACACTAAGGACTAGTACCAACAATGAAAAATTCAACTTCCTCTAGACGTTTAGCCATTTGTGGCATCGAAATGTTCGTATCCAACCCAGAAATGTAGAGCACAATTATTGTTTCATGCAGTCCCTCCCAGCTCATGTTTCTTTTCAGTACCTCTGCTGACCGGCACTACCAATCGCCCTAGTCGCTGGGAAATGGTTTAAAATGTAGAAATTGTAGAATAGTTAAGAATACATCACACCAGATGCTTCCCTGTGCGCCATTACCCGCTTCAGTCTTTTTTCCATACCGACTTAAAACATTTTACCCCTCTCGCCGAAGCGGTCTTCTTAGTCGATATCATGTAATGAGGCAATTTTGGCTGTTCGTTCATCGTCTCGAAATAAAACACACAACAACAAATCATCTCTGAAAACTTGAATGAAATCTCATTAAAACTTTAACTACTTTATCCATGTGGCTGCTATGAGCTTACAAAGAAAGAGTTTATCGACATCAGCGGAGGATGCTAGCATACTAACTAGCACAAAAGTGAACATGGGCGGTGGGGGGGGGGGGGCTGGAACTGTGCTAGCATAAAAGGGTCCATCAGCCCCACGTTCGGTCGAAACTAGAGTAAAAACCAGTGTTTCATGTGAGCTTTGCAACATACATTGTACATCTCCATGATGCACAGCTACTAGCTATAGCGATCACTGTGAAAACACCACATGCACAAGCTAGCTCGCGTGCACGCGAACGCGTTGATCGAATGACCCAACACAGCTCGAGTACGCGAACGCAAGCACAGCTCAGAGAATCCACCTTTTTTTCCAATCTCAAAGTCAAAGACCAACTAGCATGGCAGGTCTACCGTGACGTGGAATCTGTAGTCAGTGTACTGTCACACAACTATAGACTCTGACTTGGAGATTGCAGTGAACAATGATATTTTTACTTGACTAAACATTTAGACAAGCAAAGAATTAGTAGAGGACTCGATTGTTAGTAGTTTGCGCGGCTACTAGTATAGCAATGCTTGCTTGTGCAGAAAAAAACGGAGAATTTTTTACGACCCTGGCCCCACTCCAAGGATCATCCGCAGGCAAAGCATCGAGTGACAATAACGAGTGCGTTGAAGTAGCATTGGCCACGTTGCCGGAGACTGCCGAGGAACAACATGCCCGAAAGCAATCCATGGCAAGGTCATCAAAGGAGAGTCAGTCGCACAAAAGGAAGAATTTCAGCGCTGACCTGTCTACTGTCATACTGTGAGCATCAGCCCAAGAGCGGATACACCAATTAGATGGGAAGATGCTGACGATAAGAAGCAGGGAACTATTCTGCAAGGCTTGCCACATGGAAGTTAGCAAGAAAAAGAGTATTTTGATGAAACATATCAGCAGCTCACACCATAATTCAAGGAAAAGAAAAAGAAGAGCCTGGCTGATCCCTCTCCTCAATGGCCTAAAGACAAAGTGCTTGCAACATGACGAGGATGAAATTGACACGCCAGTAGACAATGTCCGCAGACGTTTCGCTGCCAACATCACAGCTCGGTTTGGCCTCTCTCCGCTGGACACCTCCAGTGATGCTGTCTTGACTGCTGCCCTGGATCCAAGATTCAGGGACTTGAAGTTCCTCCAGGAAGACGAGCAAGATGCGGTGAAGGACCTGCTGGTTGAGCAAGCTAGTATCGGCACTTCACCTGTCGTTCCGCCTGGACCAAGCTCCGAGCCACCTGCGAAACGAAACTGTATCCTGGATGACCTCCTGGTGTGGAAATGGCAAATGAAGACGAGTCTGCAGTAGCAGAGGTGCTGACCTGCCTTCAGGAGAGGCCGTGAGTAGAGCTAGCGATCCTCTTACTTGGTGGGCTGGCAATGATTCTAATGAATCTCGCTTTCCTCGCCTGGTGTACGCCTTGCAAAACGGTACCTTTGTGTCCCAGCAACGACAGCGAAAGAGCATCAGCAATACTGTTTGAAGGATTGAGCTGCAAGTGAGGTACAGCCTGCAGCCTGCCTGTATTTATTTCTTATCTGTACTGGAAGTCAGGGGTCAGTTGAGTATTTTGTGCGTTGTTGGATGTTGTGTAATGCCCTCAGCCTTCCAGTACAAATAAGAAATATTTTAACAAAAGATTCCCTAGAATAATGAGGGTCCGAATCAGGGCCAGGCCCCATACGATTCAAATGGTCGGAAGGCCGGGGCTCTGCCAACCGATGATGGTTGTAGTCAGGAGCACTGCTTTCGACACAGTGCGTCCTCCGCCTTGTAACATGCTGTCAACCGATCAATACAACATATCAATCTACCAAGATTAAAAAGGCTTACATATGACATGCTACATGTAGCCGACACTGACACAGCTACTAGTACCTGCAGCTAACACAGTTACTTACTCTGCAGCGGATGTCTCCTGTGACTTGAATGACATCGGTAACTTCCGCACGATCATACTGGAAACACATGCACAGAACAGGAGACACAGTACCCCAGTAAGCAACACAAGCAGATGCAGGTCCTGCATGTACACGAACCATACTGATTGCAGGTCCTGCATGTACATGAACCATACTGATGCCAGTCCTCCACATACGTGTACATGAACCACACTATTAGAACCTAGAAAACAGCAAACCCCAGCACCGGTGACCACTCGAGTCGAGGAAACGCACCAAGAGAGGACCTGACTTGGCACAGAAGGGCATATGCAGCCTACAAAAGCCTCTAGTCACAGGCCCATGCACGAACACAATCACACATGCATACACATTGTACGGACACTAACACGTACACACACACACACACACACACACACACACACACACACACACACGGTGCAATACAATGGCGTGCCATACCTGGGCAGCTTTGACACGCTCCTGCAGTGCCAGTGTTACACGATTGTTGCCCTTGTATGAGAAAGGCTTCCATGCTGGTTGCTGAACACACAACAGGAACATCAAGCATTCACATGTTGGCTCAGTAGTACATGTCGGCAACAGATTCAACAGAGCATGAAGAATGGAATTGGTTCCCAGCAGGCAAACACACAATACAGTGAACACAAAACAGCGAGAAAAATCACACATAGATGCACGGGCACGCGTGCATGCACACGTACACACATGTACATACACGTACACACACACACACACACACACACACACACACACACACACACACACACACACACACCCCGTAACGTACCTTGCTCTTGCCACTGGGAGGCGGCGGCTTCGTAGCCAGCATGGCATCCACTTGGGCCAGCTCAGTTCGAATCGGCGTGCCAAACGGCATGGCCGCGCCCACGGTGTTGTACAGATCATTCACCTGACTGTCCGTCTGATGATGATGACGATGAGAACAGCAGCAACATGGGGTGGAACAGGATAGCAGCAGCAGCAGCAGCAGCAAGGTGAAGAGCAAGTAGAACATCAGAACAGTGGAGAGTAGCCACAAGCACATGTACAGGCAGACAGGCAGGCAGGCAGGCAGGCAGGCAGGCAGGCAGGCAGGCAGGCAGGCAGGCAGGCAGGCAGGCAGGCAGGCAGGCAGGCAGGCAGGCAGGCAGGCAGATAGATACACACACATACAACAGACACAGGCACACACAACATACACAGACAGGCAGGTAGACAGGCAGATAGATACACACACATACAACAGACACAGGCACACACAACATACGCAGACACAGGCACACAAACACACAGACGCACACATACAGAAACATCAAAACAGCAGCGAATCAAATTGAACCTAAATGCACAGGAATGGCAATATCACCATTGCCAAAAGAAACATCAAATATTCCGAGATGAAATCGGCTGCGAAGAAACTGAGGAGCTGTACTCAACTAGACATTCTAGTATATAGCAAGGCAACGCGCAGAACATAACACCCACACGCGGTGTCAATCTACAGCACTGTGATGGCACGCGTCAAATCAGAGTAGTTTCGGGTTGGTTGGTTGATTATCATTGTTTATGTGATGTGACAATACAATGCAGGTATGACTAATTGCACCGATTTCGCCACCTGCTGTCACAATGACCTGTGAGCTGCCACAGCGTGTGATACATGTCTAGCTGTGTGTCTGCGTAAGACATAGCACCCCCACACACACATGACTGTGAAAACCACCGCCGCAGGAGTCTATCTGTCTGTGTGACACAACACTCCCACACACATGACCTCCCACACACATAGCACTCCCACACACATAGCACTCCCACACACATAGCACTCCCACACACATAGCACTCCCACACACATAGCACTCCCACACACATAGCACTCCCACACACATAGCACTCCCACACACATAGCACTCCCACACACATAGCACTCCCACACACATAGCACTCCCACACACATGACCTCCCACACACGACAGTGAACACCACCAACATAGGAGATGGCAGCACATACCGTTTCCCACGACTGCGCGCTAGGTCCAACGTACGCTGCCATTTTCTCGAGGAAGTCAATGGCGACGGTCACACCCGGCCTGCAACACATACCATAACCAAGCGAGAAGTCAGTTTGCACGTCACATTGATATCCCTGATAGACTGGTTCAACGAGATCTCTATGGAATCCCCTAGGTATTGGGCTGGAAAGCAACAGCTGCATCGTGCAAACGCAACTGCGCCTGCCACTGGCTTAGTATGGGTGCAAAGTTGCAAATACATATGCGCACAGAGCACAGCTTTAGAGCATCATCCTGTCCTCCAACTACCAGTACATGTACGCCATTCTGCCTCCAGGATGCAGCCGCAACTGCCTACACTACAGCTGTCCACACAACAGGATCTATACATGTACTTGTCAGCGCGTCGGGTCGGGTAGAAATCACATGTTGGCCCATTTTCAAACTTTCGAGAAAAAGGGCTGCAAAGTTTTGGGTCCATGTGCGCAGGCGGAAATCGTTTTCATTAGTTATGCCTGCGCTGCGTGCTAAAGGTCTTGACCACGGTGTCTTGACAGCACGCCAGCTGCCAGCTCAGAGGAGTCCGTTGGCAGTGACAGTCCAAGTGAGTCGAGCGAGCCCCAGTCGTATCCTGAAGGAAGCGTGTTACTTGGTGGCCAAATGGTAATATAACTACTCTCTGCAGGAGAAAGGTTTGCAAAAAGGCCTCGTTGAACCGGTTTTCAGGGATTTTCACCCGTTTCTCGAGTTCACTGTGTTTTTCAATATCATAGGCAGGGTTTTCATGCACAGTGATAACCAATCTGAAAGAAGATATTTCGTAGTCAATCGTTATCACTGTTGCATTCTGTATTTTTTCTTCTTTTCTCTGTGTGAAATGTTGAGAAAAAAGAAGACTGGAAAAGAAGAAAAAATACAGAATGCAACAGGTTAGCTAGGATACGAGTGATACGACACAAGCAAAGCACAGCAACTCATGTCAGTTAGACAAATCAAGAGAAGAAAAAAAGAAATTGGAGGGCGCACTCGGAGTTGAACCAAGGACCTATCGATCTGCAGTCGATTGCTCTACCACTGAGCTATACACCCTTTCACACTTCTGCAAAGCGCTAACAGAAATAGGTAGCTAGCTGCCTCCCGGGCAGCTTTGCTTTCAAAATAATGTAGATAATTGGAGGAGCCTCGGGGAACACCAATCAGAGTTCTACGAGTCTCCTCCAGTACAGGTGAAATCCTGATAATTCGAACCTCAAAATGCCAGGAAAAAACTTCTAATTATCCAGACATTCTAATTATCCAAACATGAACCCACAACACAATATGTATGTCAAAATGCTCTCATGGTCACGCAGAGTTGCGCTATGGACCTTAGACACAAATTTTACGGACACTGAACTGACTGGCATAGCCTGCTCGTGCAAACTGAACTGACCAGTACAGTGTACAGTGAACTTCGAATTACACTTTGCTACCATCGAATTATCAGTACAAATCCCACACATTTTCTATGTAAGTGGAATCTGTGGGACTTCTAATTAAGCGGACATGTCCAGTTCGAGGTTCGAATTATCAGAAATTTTTACGTGGGAATTGTATTGATAGAAATCGGTCCTGGAAAAACTTCTAATTAAGCGGTATGTTCGAATTAAGCCATATTCGAATTATCAGGATTCCACCTGTATTCATGAGCATTGTGCATACACAGTGATAACTATTGACTACGGAATATCTCCTATCAGATTGGTTATCACTGTGCCTGCATAATGATCATGAATGCGGAGAGGAGTGAAGAAGAATTTTCAACCTTGAAGCAGTCCTCCTGTGTCTGTGTGCTATAAATACCCCAAAAATCACAGCTCAAGTTAGAGTCAGCGAGTTGTCCACATCCGTAGGAACTCCACCACCCGCAAGAATCAAGGCGCTAATACCAAGAGCACGCATGCTCCCACGAGTGCGTAACTCGGTGCAGGATTTCTTTACGGTTTGCCAACGGCAAAAAAAACCTCTCATCATGTGAGGTAGAGTGGCACTGGCTATACCCTCTGCAGCAGCACAGCACTGTGTGGACAGGGAACACTGAACACAGCACTGTGTGGACAGGGAACACTGAACACACTACAGACATCAGAACACACTACAGACATCAGAACACACTGCAGACATCAGAACACACTACAGACATCATTGTAAAGTAAGCACTGTCAGAGACACAATCATACACTTACAGCTCAATGGCACTCGGTCTGGCTGCTGAGGTTGTATTGTCCACCACCGGCAACGCACAAAACAACAAGGAGTGCTGAGCACAGTGAACACAAGAAGCAGCGACAGCGACGGAAACAAATCAACAAAAATCACAAAACTTGCTCCAACAGCAAGGCATGCAACAGCTGTCGAGAAAATATGTGTGGGTGGAAGGGGGGCTGTTCAGAAGGAACAACTGCTGCCCGTAAAAACACTGAGAGAAGTTTGGTTGAGCGCACAGGTACGTACACGAATGTACAGTACGCGTACATGTAAAGAACCCTAACACAAATGTACACAGTGCACGCAAATCTGTATGCAACACACACACACACACACACACACACACACACACACACACACACACACACACACACACACACACACACACACATGTGGCGGAGTCTCAAAGCCGTGTCAGAACATCAACAAGGCACCTACTGTAACTTGGAATTACAACATCATAGCTGGTACACAGTCAACTTTGCGTATAACGACACTCGGCGGGGTACTAGAAAAGTGTCCTTATTCGCGAAGTGTGCTTATACCCGAAGTCTCATTATATGTATTACAGTTAGATGGGACAAATTCTGTCGTTATTCGCGAATTGTCGTTATATCCACAGTCGTTATTAGCAAAGTTGACTGTAGACATAACTGTTGTGTCAAGGCCGGATAAGAATACAACGCATGTACAACGCATGTACATGTACATGATACACAGAACAAGGAGGCCGCACCATGCTAGTTTGTTGCAACTCATTTCATGCTACTTGCAATCATCAGGCAACATACAGATGCTGTTGACCTTTTCAGTATCAATGCCAGGAGAATTATTAGGCTGTGTTTAGACGAGGCATTTCAACCCAGGTCGAGTTTCAACCCACCATGAACGCAGATTGACTGGAGCGTTTACATGACGCATTGCGCTTGACCCGGGCTGAAATCAAGAAATCATTCTACCGCACTTCTCTGCGTACCTCGCGCTAGGTTTGCACAGTACTGCAAATGCAAATTTCACGCGAAATAATTCACGTGACCATACAGGACTCTAGAAGTTGACTTTCGTCGGCATCTAAGTAATTGACCAGGGTCAACTCTCTTCATGTAAAAACCCACCAATTTTCCCACCGAACAGACTTTCAACCCGGGTTGAAAATTCTCAGACAGACATTGACAAGCAGACCAATGTCAAGCAGGGCCGGTTAGCTGTTGAGAGCACAGCTGAGCATGGAAGACCACGGGCAGCACTGAGCTTGTAAGAACTGTGCACTTGGCTGGGCTCGGCTGCATGCAACTCGCTGCATGCACACTCATCCATGAAGGATTGCTACAAGGACAGCTTTGCGCACAGCATGCTACAGATGCGAGAAACAATGAGTCTCACCGGGTCTAAACAAATTAAACGGTTCTTGCATCTTGCCGTCCGGACCAAGGAAGTGCCTCGGGGATCTCCAAATCATAATTCATTGCACACGCTCCTTATCTGCTGAATGCATTGCAAAAGAGCTCGACTGCTTTGTATCAACCAGGAAGAATGGTGCCCGTGGATGAAATGGATATTCCACATAAAGGCCGATCATCACTGACATCGAGTGTCAAGTTTAAAGGGGAAGTTAAGGCAAAAATTAAAATTTCACCAGTTGTAGTCTTCGGGGTGCTGAGTCGAATGGTCTTGGTCCGAGAAAGCTGAGACGCTCCCTTCCTACTTGAATCCCAATCGAACTCGCGCACTTCCACCGAAACTGGGTGACTGCGCCCTACTAGATGGGGATTTGTATGCAAAATGTCACTAAAAGCGCCATTTCGTTCTTATAAAAGCACGGATGACCGCGATTGGCCCATATGTTGTAGTCTTTTGGACGCTGAGTCGACCGGTTTTGGTCCGAAAAGGCTGCGATGCAGCGTTCCTCCTTTATTCCCAATCGAACATGGTTGAACAAGTGGTCACGTGCTCCTGGGTGCCCAAATCACCTGGTCACCACGCCAGCAGGCGACAACTTTCACACCAAGGTTCAACTCGAGTTCAACTCGAGTGACAGGACTGCACCCAAAAAAGGTCAAACAGGCTAGTAAGTTGTACCCTGCAGGCACGGTGACCAGGTGACTGGTGTACGCAGGAGCACGTGACCGCTTGTTCAACCATGTTCGATTGGGAATAAAGGAGGAACGCTGCATCGCAGCCTTTTCGGACCAAAACCAGTCGACTCAACGTCCAAAAGACTGGGCCTATCGCGGTCATCCGTGCTTTTATAAGAACGAAATGGCGCTTTTAGTGACATTTTGCATACAAATCCCCATCTAGTAGGGCGCAGTCACCCAGTTTCGGTGGAAGTGCGCGAGTTCGATTGGGATTCAAGTAGGAAGGGAGCGTCTCAGCTTTCTCGGACCAAGACCATTCGACTCAGCACCCCGAAGACTACAACTGGTGAAATTTTAATTTCTGCCTTAACTTCCCCTTTAAGAGAGTTGGAGCCGACTTCCTGACGTTTTCAATTCGTGATCCCACGAATGGATATGCATAGTTTACAGCACTTCAATTCGACCCGTTGATACCCGAAATGAAGCATGGTTTGGCAACGACGTTCAATGCCGCGCTCCATCCTGCGTCCAAAATTCCCTCCGCTGGCTATCATATCTTTGCAGACAACTTGTACTCAAGCGCTGCACTTCGCCAACAGCTATTCGACAGAGGCCATGCATTCACCTACACTGCAAGATTAAATAGAGTGCCTGATCAAATCAAGCAAGATACCCTCAGGTCGCAAGCATAGTGTGCTGCCCAGAAAGAAACCGGTGCAGTAGGTGGCTCGCAGAGATGTGATCACACTGAGCGCCTTTCACAGCAAACCTGTCAACATGATGACAATTGGCCACCGCACAATACAAGACGTGGAGTACAGCCGGGAGTAGCCCTCCTATGATGCTGCTTCTGGACAGTGGATGACTGTGCAACAACTGCGACGAGATTGAATGTCATCAACGACTACCATCATGCTATGGGTGGTGTCGATGTTGCAGACCAGCTCCGGACCATTTATGGGACAAAAGTGAAGTCAAACAAATGGTAGCATCCTATTTCCTGGGCACTCATCAACACCGCACCATGGGGCTTGCCCAACACAGAGAGCATGGACACATTCCATCGGTGGCAGCTGTGGTCCATCATCGACATGCATCAGCATCAACACATCTCAAATGACGCCCTGTACAAGAGATGCAAGACTCACCCATTCAGCATCACCATCAACCAACAGCGCATAGTACTGCTAGGTGATGTTCTCTGTTTGCCCGCGAACACCCCCGCTCAGCTCGCTATGGATATATTTCCAGCAGGTGACGACTCCCACTGCAGAGCGTGTTCTGGGTTGCCCTCGCACCACTCTAGCTACCACTGTCATTGCTGACCTAACTGGATATGGCCTACCTACCGGAATGCCATCAGATCTTTAAGTTTGGCGAACCCAGAGCACAGGACAGAAAATAATGGCTTGTCCTAAAGAGTGCATGCTGGCCACAGGATTTTCCAGTCGTGGTCATTCCAATGATTTATCTACATATGCATCGCTCCACACAATCACTCCTTGCCTGCCTCAATACCCTGCCTCCGACTCTCCTTTTCTGCTCGTGCAACACCCACTTTCAAAGCACAAAAATTAATGTCGCCCATGAAACACCGGGTTATGAACTTATGATCCCTCGAATTCTCATGGCCTTGTCTCCCTGTATTTCTGTTTCTTTGTTGTCCTGAATGTCACAAGCGAAGTGTGCAAACCCGCCTACATTGCGAAGGTGCTAGTAATAATAAATTAATAATAATAATAAATAACATGGGAGGGTATCACTGGGGCTCACCCGCATAATCGCAACGAAAGGCCATTGCTTCTTCGCGCCAACTTCATAAATTGGCTTTGTACTCTCCACAAGGCAACTATCACGCTCCTTTGTGTACTGCAAATACACACACAAGTGCACCAACACACACACACGCAAGCACATACGCACACACACACACACACACACACACACACACACACACACACACACACACACACACACACACACACACACACACACACATACATGCACACACACACATACATGCACACACACACACACACACACACACATACACACACACATGCACAGAGCACACACACACACACACACACAAGCACAGGCACGCACACACATGCACAGGCACGCACACACATGCACAGGCACGCGCGCGCGCACACACACACACACACACACACGCACACACACACACACACACACACACGCACACACACACACACACACACACACGCACACACACACACACACGCACGCAGATACATCCCCAAGCACCAGTATGCACAACGCAAATATGTACACCAACAAAGAGTACAGTACTGTCGGGCGCCGAAGAACGACCAGGCTAGAATTTCATCAAGCACAGCATACCAATGTATACACGAGGACTCAACTGCCCATCGACTGTAGTACATGAAAATAAGAACGGACTAGGCTAGGAGGCTGACCCCCCAGTTCTTTGGCGACCGACAGTACTGTAGTGCATGTAGCATAAAGACAAGTGCCTTTCAATATGGCGGTACTACTGCATGTTTGCTCTCCCTTACCAACATTTTTTGCTTTCTCAAACACCCTCTCCTCTGCCTTTTCAAATGCATGCACAGGTAAAAACATATCCGAGCAACCACCTGGTCCGTACAACAAATGTTCTTTGGCACCAAAGACAAGTGTGTGTAACGTGCATGGGGCAATCTGGTTTCAGAGATCACCTTGAAACACCCTATTCAAATAAATAAAATACTTGTACTAATAATACAGCACAGAGGCAATATGCTTTGGTTCTGCAAGAGTGCTCAATGCCTGATTCAGGCAGAGCGGCGTACACAAAGGCACACAATGAAAACCTTGGCAAATTTATTCCGTTGTGACTCAGAGTTTCATGGCTTTAATCCTCAGCAAACTCCGTCCACTCCTGGGCGACCAGTGCGTGGGTCTTTACCGTGACGACGGTCTAGCGATAATGAAGGACGCCACGGGTCATGATGCCGACCGCACGCGCAAACAGATCATACAGATATTCCAAGCACACGGCTTAATAACAATCGAAACCAACAAGAAGATCGTCGACTACTTGGATGTGACCCTGAATCTCGCCACCGGAACATTCCAACCATACAGGAAACCGAATAGTACACCCCTGTACGTCGATGTGCGGTCCTGTCACCCACCGCAGGTGCTGAGACAAATACCCATTGGCATCAACAAGAGGCTGCAACGTATCTCATGCAATGAGGAAGTGTTCAACGATGCTAAAACGTTATACGAGGACGCACTGGCCTCAAGTGGCCACCCGAAAACCATGACATACAAGGATGAACCGAGCAACAAGAAGAAAAAAGCGAAGAAAGGGCGCAGCCTCGACGTCATCTGGTTTAACCCGCCGTACAGTACCACGGTCAAAACCAACGTTGGCGCAAAGTTTCTATACCTCGTCAAGAAACACTTCCCTGAAGGGTCGGCGCTACACAAGGTGTTTAACAAGAACACAACAAAAGTAAGCTACAGCTGTATGAAGAACGTAGCGTCGATTATCAAAGGGCACAATGCTGCAAAACTTCACTCGCGACCGCCAGTTGTGCCATGCAATTGTCGGGTCAAGGCGTCGTGCCCCCTCAACGGTGACTGCCAGTCTTCCGACGTCGTGTACGAGGCGCATGTAGCATCCAACGAAGTCAAGACCTACGTCGGCATGACTGCTACCACATTCAAGCAGCGCTACAACAAACACACTTCGGACTTCCGCCATGAAAAGTACGCCGCATCGACTAAGTTGTCCAAGCACATCTGGGATCTGAAAAACGAGAACCGCGGACTCGACATCAGATGGGAGATCAAGGATAGAGCACCTTCGTACAGTAACATCAGCAAGAAGTGTGGCCTATGCTTAAAGGGGAAGTTAAGGCAAAAATTAAAATTTCACCAGTTGTAGTCTTCGGGGTGCCGAGTCGAATGGTCGTGGTCCGAGGAAGCTGAGACGCTCCCTTCCTACTTGAATCCCAATCGAACTCGCGTACTTCCACCGAAACTGGGTGACTGCGCCCTACTAGATGGGGATTTGTATGCAAAATGTCACTAAAAGCGCCGTTTCGTTCTTATAAAAGCACGGATGACCGCGATTGGCCCATATGTTGTAGTCTTTTGGACGCTGAGTCGACTGGTTTTGGTCCGAAAAGGCTGCGATGCAGCGTTCCTCCTTTATTCCCAATCGAACATGGTTGAACAAGCGGTCACGTGCTCCTGCGTACGCCAGTCACCTGGTCACCGTGCCTGCAGGGTACAACTTACTAGCCTGTTTGACCTTTTTTGGGTGCAGTCCTGTCACTCGAGTTGAACTCGAGTTGAACCTTGGTGTGAAAGTTCTCGCCTGCTGGCGTGGTGACCAGGTGATTTGGGCACCCAGGAGCACGTGACCGCTTGTTCAACCATGTTCGATTGGGAATAAAGGAGGAACGCTGCATCGCAGCCTTTTCGGACCAAAACCAGTCGACTCAACGTCCAAAAGACTGGGCCTATCGCGGTCATCCGTGCTTTTATAAGAACGAAATGGCGCTTTTAGTGACATTTTGCATACAAATCCCCATCTAGTAGGGCGCAGTCACCCAGTTTCGGTGGAAGTGCGCGAGTTCGATTGGGATTCAAGTAGGAAGGGAGCGTCTCAGCTTCCTCGGACCACGACCATTCGACTCAGCACCCCGAAGACTACAACTGGTGAAATTTTAATTTTTGCCTTAACTTCCCCTTTAACCGAAAAGTTCCACATCCTGAAAGCTTCAAAAGCTACCTCCCTAAACAAGAGAAGTGAGCTGGTATCTAAATGCCCTCACCAGCGCAAGTTTCTGCTGGCCACCCCTATTACATAGACAGCTGTGACCGCTGCGGGTTTTTTGACGCGTGATTGCAGGAGTTTGTGTGCGCTTAGATTTGTCATACTTACGCAGATGCCTGTGTATACGTGTGGACATGTGTCTATAGGTGTGTGTATATGCGTGTGTGCGTGTGTTTGTGCGTGTGCGAGTTAGGGTGTTGTGGGTGGGTGGGTGTCCTGTGTGTGCGTGCGCCCGTGTGCAAGTTAGGGTGTTGTGGGTGGGTGTATGTGTGTGTTAGTGTGTGCGTGTATGTGTGTGTGGGTGTTACTATGTGTGTGCGTGTTAGTATGTGTGTGTGTGTGGTGTGTGAGCGAGATTAAGTGCGTACTTGTTAGTGCTAGACCTGCGCCTACTGCATCTGCCTCTGAAATAGCCCGTCCCTGTATACATTCACGCGATTACTCCTCTCGCTATCGTATTATCACACCTCTCTCCACTTAGATATACCAGCGCTGCCTCCTATTCCATTATCGTTGTCTGATGATTGGTTCAGCCATGAAACTCTGAGTCACAACGGAATACATTTGCCAAAGTTTTCATTGTGTGCCTTTGTACTAATAATAATAATACCTGCATTCACAGACCGAGATACTACATGTAGTATCGGTACCAAGGATGGTTGCTTAAGCCAGGTTTCACCTGCGCCCAAATCTGAGCACTTGGGTTGCGCAGAAGTAAATGGAGTGATCCCAGCTGCCGCTCAGAGAAAAGCTCCTACCTCCTCATCCGCTTCCGCCAATCCGCACGCTGTGAACACAGCTGTACAGAGCTCTTGTTCCTCCTCGAGGCTCACATACCCCCGCTGTCGCTTGGCCCGGCATTCCGCAGGAGCAAAGCGCCTGATGCATTGTAGCAAAGTGCGAAATCAAAAAAAAACAGTTATGGCAACATACAAAGCATACGTGCGTATTCCCCAACAAGTTATAACACCTTGTTCCGCCCACCTAAAACATTCGACAAGATCATTTTTATATGTACCGGTGTATTATAAAACAAGTTACATTGCATAACTATTAGATCCTATCACAAACGTTAAACACTTCCTACTAAAGTATCACATACCAATAATAAAATTAAATTAATAGACAAGTCAAATGAAAATCAGGTAAAGCCTGCAGAACCGTCATGTGCAAATCAAGTAAGTGTATCAATGTACGCAAATACCGGTATGCATACTCTAATTATTACAGATTACTAGTATCTCAATCGTTGGGGCTGCAGTAATATATTCAAATAATAATTGATATCAACATTCTCACCTTGAAAATAATATCTTATCTGAATTTGCCGGCGCATATGGCTTGTAAATCCAGACCCCTCGTAAACTCATGGCTATAGTTACATGAACGCACCTAGAAATAGCTCGAAGCAATTACAGGTACAAGTACACTGCATTCGTGAAGAACACCCTATGAAATTCGAAAGTAGTCTTTTCGACATTTGAACGACATGATAATGAAGTCACACTGTTTCTGTGCTCATCTGCATGGTTATGTGTATCAGTCTATCACTGTCAGAGTGTGTGGGCCTGTGGCCAGTGGGCAGTGTGTCGTCTTGGCCAGGGACTGGGAGGCTCCCTGCCACCCTGGCCTGGTCCTGTACTGGGCCTGGCATGTTCAGCACTGAGACTGCAGAGCGTGATCACTGAGACGAAACAGATCCTGCCGGCGCAGGCTTTCGGCAAAATGTCGAAGAAGCAGAAATAATTGCCAACAAAATCGAAGCAAAATATCGAGATATTGGGTTAAATCGATGCCTGATACTTGGGCTGCATTCGATTGTAGAAACTGGATCCCGATCCCCGCCGACCAGATCACTTCGATCTGACGGATACAATCGAATGTGCACAACCGATAATCCGTTTCAAGGCCTTGGCAACCGCGTTGCTACAGCTCATCCCGTAGTATCTGTACGCGTTGTGGTAAACTCTTGACCCAGTGTACGCATATTGCGAGTTTTGAGTAGATACGAGTCGTACTATCGAAATGAATCCGTCGAATCCGTCGAATCCGTCGAATCCGTCTCTGGGAGGTGGGTTGACTGGATCCGAATCCGTGCTCTCGGGATCCGGATTCGTACAATCGAACATGCACAAATTTGGCGAATCCGGGTCCGGGGCTGATGGATTCGTACAATCGAACATGCCCTTGGGCTGCATTCGATTGTAGAAACTGGATCCCGATCCCCGCCGACCAGATCACTTCGATCTGACGGATACAATCGAATGTGCACAACCGATAATCCGTTTCAAGGCCTTGGCAACCGCGTTGCTACAGCTCATCCCGTAGTATCTGTACGCGTTGTGGTAAACTCTTGACCCAGTGTACGCATATTGCGAGTTTTGAGTAGATACGAGTCGTACTATCGAAATGAATCCGTCGAATCCGTCGAATCCGTCGAATCCGTCTCTGGGAGGTGGGTTGACTGGATCCGAATCCGTGCTCTCGGGATCCGGATTCGTACAATCGAACATGCACAAATTTGGCGAATCCGGGTCCGGGGCTGATGGATTCGTACAATCGAACATGCCCTTGGTTTTCCTTGTAAAGTTGTTTCTTGTGCGTTCTGCATGATACACTGCCCAGGCTGAGGTAATATATAATCAGTAGCTACATGAAGCCTGTAGGCTGTAGGCCAGGACGAGATCATGTCACCGAAATATCACTCACTGGGATTCACTGTGTGGATCGACATGATTTTGGAAGAACCCAGGGACACGTGTGTGAAATCCGTGTTGAGAAACCGACCCTGCGATTTTTACGAAAAGTAATAATATTAGTTGTACAGGAAGACTCTGTCCCCCGTGAATTCCGCGATTCCGCGGACTGCAGAATTTCCGCAGAATCCAGCAGTAGTGTCCGCAGAATTCAGAAAATGCCGCGGAATATTGCAGAAAAGAGAGAAAAACTGCTTTTTCTGGAGATTTTCGATGCATTTTCGCAGCCAAACCAACCTACTTGTGACGTTCAAAACCGACTTGAAGTATATTTTTGGAGCTTTCAATTTTTTTGACCAGGATTTCGCATAATTTTGGTTCAGAATTTATAGGGACAACAAACTTCGGTGGGGTTGCGGAAATTTGATCTGTTTATACGCTCATTTTCCTTGCAGAATTGCCGCAGAACATAGAAGGATTTGCAGAATTAGCGCAGAATTTACTGTCTTCACCCGCAGAATTCTGCACGGGATTCACGGGGGACAGGGAAGTGGATAAAATACACGTTTTTCTGGAGCAAAATGGAGCAAAATATTGGGTTTCTACTCCGTAAATGCCAGGCTCGGCAAAATATCGAAGATTTCGCAGTAACATTGCGCGGTAAAATATCGTGGCCAGCAGAGCAGAATCTGTCTGGCTCTGTACGAGTAGTATACGATCGTAGTACAGTGAGTACCGTTTATAAAGTGACCAGGTGTAATCTGGTAATACCCGATATTAAACTGTTAGAACTCGTCAAAATCAAAAATCAGATCAGAAAAATACAGCTAAAATCACTATAATTATACACTATTGTCACTCTCTTATCGGCCGATATACATGTATCGCTTATTGTGATCGGCTTCAGGAAGCCAACCATATCGATATACAGGAAAATATCGCATGTGTTGATCAAGAGTGATGACGACAAAACAAGTGTTCTTCCAATAAAGTTCAGTTCTTCCAAAACTGATCCAGTGTCAGCTGGATGCATCTGGCAGCAGACGTGGCTGAGAGAAAATCAGTCTCAATTTTGGACAGGTGTCCCCGTACTGGCCGTAGACCTATGCTGTAAGCAGCCACAATCATGTATCAAAGAAGTAGTTGCTGCACTAGCATGCACTGTACTGCATGGACTCTTGATGCTACGCATGCACAGTCCGCGGAGCATGCACGCAGCCGAGGTCTTTTACAAGGTTTTTATTTCCTATATAATATTGACCTAGTACGAAGTCAATATCATCATCATCATCATCATCATCTTCTTCATCTGCATTGCCGATAATATGAAAATTTAAACAAAGCCAAAAAATCATAAAAAAAGAGAAAATAATAACATGACCTAAACTTGCCAGTTAAAAAAATGTCAATCGGCAACCTAAAAATTGCATGAGCATCTTCAGTGTTCTTCACTTATTTTGTCCCACGCTTGTTTTTCTGCATGGCCTTTCGCATGGCAATTTGCTTGTCTCTGAAAGAGCGTTGCGACCGACTATACCTCATCTTCTGTCGCAGCATCATGAAGTTCTTGGACTTTCTTTTCTCCTTGTGGGTTGTGCTGGCGTGCGGGTTCATCTTGGGTCTCCGTGCACCATACTTGGCCCGACCTTCACGACCAGCAAGAACTGAAGCCAGCCTTTCTTCCCGATTCCGCCTCCGCTTGACATTCACCATGGCGATATCTTCGAGACTGACAATTTCATTGGGTCCATTATCGTCATCGCTGTCACCTTCATCTTCATTATCCCCACTAGCAACGCCAGCTTCATCCTCCTCCTCGTCATCATTCTCTTCCTCCATCTCATCTTCATCTTCCTCATCACCATCATCACTGTCTTCCTCCATGTCATCTCCATCGTCATCAGCACCATCAACACCCTCCTCTTCATCCATGTCGGCATCTGCCTCGTCCTCATCTTCAGCAACTTCATCATCGGTATCTGAATCAACATCACGATCCACACCTGGCTTGCCACGGTCTTTGCGATTCAGCAGGTTGGCATTGAATGTACGGCCGAGCTGCAAAAGTGATCGTGCGGCTGTGGATACACCTCTATCGCGGTGTGTCTTGTACTGGACAAAGTCACGCAGCAGCGTGCCATCTCCCATGGCCTGCGGGCAGCGCGTGTACACTTCCCGTGCAGCGTTCAAGCCAACTGCCATGACTTCGTTCGCGTTGCGCTCCGTGATGAAATTGTCTGCAATTCCACGCAAGACTGGTTCCACTACATCTGCTGGGACTTGCTCGTGAACAGCTTGAGCAGTGATCATCAGCAGACGAGTGACATCACGTTGCTGTGGCTTCAGGAAACGCAGAATGTACGGGTAGAAGTTATATAATATGAGTTGGTGGACTCCTACTAGACGGCCGATCAAAGTAAGCACGCTCAGTCTCAGCTCAAAGGTGTGATTTTCACGCTCAAGACGCTTAAATAGCTGCTCTGCTAGCTCCTGGGGGTCGTGGATGAGATGCAATGCAGAGAAGTTCGGAACACTGTCCTTCCCTTTCTTCTTGCGCTTCTTCAGTTTGTTAACCTTGGCTAACTGCTTTTCCAGTTTCTTCCTGCGTTTTTGCGTCTTCTTCGCGACACCACTGGCCAGTATGAGCTTACGGGCAGACGGAGCATCCTCCTCATCACTGCTACTATCATCATCTGAGTCTACATCATCCACACCCAGGAAGAAACGAACTGCAGTTGCCAACAGCTTGGCTGTTGGCGATAAACATGCTGTGACAATGACATTCACAGTTTTCGCGTCACGCCAAACATGCTTCTTGTAGAGCTCCACCATTACATCCAAGGACATCTTAGCAGCGATAGCATGTGGATCTTTTAGCATAGCATACATGAAGTTCTGCAGAGTTCTGTTAAGCACATTGTTCTTGTGCTTTGCATTCATAGTCTTGATATCAGACACAATATGGTTGAACAGTAACTTCCTGAGAAGCTTGTCCTGGCATCGGAATAGCAGGAAGAACAGCTCCAGCAGATCCTTGGCAGGTAACAGGTCCTTCTTGCGCATGAGTATCAGCGCCCTGCAGAAGGACACCCGGAGCTCTGGGTGCAGCACTGAGTAGTGACATCGTAAGAGACTGATCAAACGCTTCGGAAACTCAGCAAGCTCTTTCTTGTACAAGTGTGAGACTTGACTGAGAAATACGACCAGTTCACAAACTGGTTTCGTAAACTGAGAGGGATTGTCCTCCAATACTTCGACGTACGACGCGAAATGCGAATACTGTTTAGTGAATTCCTCCAAGTATCCTTCGGGATCCCGTCGTATCAAACGCAGCAAATCGGGTAGCTGGATATTATTGGCCATTATTATTCAAAGAACAACCGAACTGCAAATGCAGCTACAGCTCAGTCCTGCTAAAGCTACAAAGTCATGTAGCTTCGCAGCTACAACCACGCTTTCCCAGCGCCATATTCACCTTGGTGATATCTGCATTTGCACTGCAAGTCTGCAGTGCATGCCATGTGGGGAGTCGTAAAATACCGGTATTTTATGACTCCCTGATAGCAACTAACTAAAGTAACATTTTTACTTACTTATCGCAAGCCAAAAAATTATAGTGTGCATGTGCGGCCTTTCCGAACATTTTTATTTTCCCGATATTTTTACTTTCTGTGTTTTATTTTAGCTATGTTCAAAAATTGTTGAAAGTAGCTGCTGAGATTTTTAGTTGTTGAAAGAGAACTAAGATTAATTTCATTCTTTCATCATGGCGAACAGGGATATCTACAAACAGGAGCCGATGGACGATGAGGATGGTACGATGTACGCCTGGATAATTTCTCCAGGATTGCAGCTGGTTGAACGGTTTGTGCTCTCTCATCTCATTTGCAGCTACGTTGAAACGTATCAAATCAAGCGTGAGCAAAAGAAAAGGGAGAGGATTTGATGGTAAACTAATTCAGACGCTGTCCATATAGCTTTAAGAACAGTTTTAAGATTACCACCTGTTCTGGGTTTATGATAGATGCTGCATCAACAAGGACACATGGCTCTTACGATCAAATGGAAGTAGATGGAGACGACTCTACACAGGGACCACAAAGATGTAAGTTATTTACTACTTATGTACATGTATTGTTAAAACGTGTCCCATGTCATATTTGTAGGTGTTACTCTATAGTATTCCGCTGTATGTGCTGCAAGGGACATTGTGATTTTGCGTGGAGTATTATAATTCAATTAGTGTTCTGCTATTCTGACCAAAAATAACATTTTTCAAGTACATGTATTTCATTTTGAGCAGTGTTATTAGTGACGATAAATAACCAAGCCAGAACCAAGATTTAATATCAAATTTTGTATTGGGGCCACACACAGCTTCATGGTCATAGGTTGTATGTGCCAGACAGTTGGGACCATGACATTTTCATCTCCGCTTTCAACACATGTTCTGAATATATTATGAGTTGCCCCACTCAGTGCCGTTGAGCTCGCAGTGTGCTGTCTAGCATTGCATATGCACAACCTATAGCGAGTATGTCCAGTAAAGGGTTACTACAGTATCTGCTTCAAAGAAGTAATATACTATATAGTCAACTTCGCGTATAACAACACTCGGCGGGGCATCAGAAAAGTGTCCTTATTCGCGAAGTGTCGTTATACCCCAAGTCCCATTATATGTATACAGTTGGATGGGACTTTGCTCTGGGCATGGAAATTCTGCCGGTATTCGCGAATTGTCGTTATATCCGCAGTCGTTAGTAGCGAAGTTGACTGTATATGTGCGGCTTACTCTTGTGCAAGCTGATGTACGCGCTAAGCTCCACTCCAACTGGGTCTGTTTTTAAGCCGGATATTTTCTATGTTCGTCAACACAAAACCAGGCGTATGCGTCGATGGTCGATGTTAACATCATGCTTGTATCCGAAACAGGCTTCTAAACAAGACAGTGTGGCATGTGGCTCAAAGTGCAATTGTATAGATCACTGTGATAAAAAGTCTTCTTTGGAGATGAGAATTTTGATTCAGAAATGAAGAACCAGTACATGTGATAATAAACCAGTAACAAGTGATTTAGTGACGTGCCTGCAGTACAGTCCGTTCATTTGAAACTAGCCCGTTACGTTGCTGAGACCGTGCTCAAGGCCGCTGATGAGAAATTACCGTACGAAAAATCCGAGTGCTGAGCTACGAACGTTTAGTGCATGCGCCTCCCATCGTCTATGAGCGGTAGATTTGTGTATGGTCAGGTGTGTTAAAGGGCTGGACTCATCATACACCTTGTAAACACGGTGGATTGGATACCAGATGACTGTAAATAGCAGGCTTACAGTATACATTGCGTTATTAGAAGTGCCCACATCCACCTTCTCCTTACCACCTGCGCTTCTCTCGCCCTCGTCAGAGTCGTTGTCACCTTCAATCTCGAACTAGCCTTGCTCTACTGGTGTACTGCCGTGGACATGGAAATCCGGTTGAATGACGCGGGGCCGGCACCCTCAGTGCATATACAGAACGTTGCATGCACAGTGCACATGTTGATCACATGCGTACTCACGGCTGCATGGCCAGCGCCCTGCATCAATTATAGTGCTGTTTATATCCCATAGGGCCAAACTAAAAAAGGTGTGTGGTTCGACTAACATGGACATTTTTTTTACGGGCGGGCGGGCGGATTTTTTTTTTTAATAATATTATATTTTTTAGTACATGTAAATACACTGTACTACCTTTAGACACCCAGTACATTGGCATTATTACGCAGTGTTATGCCATACATGTTGTATAACGGGATCACTGGCTAATACTTTGAAACATTGTGTGGCAGAAATGTGACTTAGAAGTATGTGTGACTCAGCCCTCCGGACCCAATGAACAGTGCTATGGCAGATGTGTTGAGTAAAGAGTATGGTGGCAAATCGTGAAATCTACATCAATTAATTGGAGCATTGTACAGCGGAAACGGTAAAGGGAAAACAGACTGTGACTTGTAATGGGGAGAAAGACTTAGACGGTGGTCGTATCGAGTAGACTCTACTACCAGCACAAGGCAGCAGTCGTACCACTCACTGCACTGCACTGCAGTACAACTACAAGTCAAGTCCAAAAGGAGCCGCCTGCGTCCGCAGACTCACGCTGCACAGCACGTAGACGTGGACGTGTTCAGTCCACGTACGTCAGTCACACGACAGCCCGCCGAAAAAAAAGTTACGGTCGGGCTGAAAAATGTACGGTCGGTCGGGTGAGTCGAACCACAGACTTTTTTCAGTGTGGCCTTGTATGTTATATTATTATTACTGTTATTAAACTCGGATGGAGAGCCAAGGATTAAAATTAACCCTTTGAGGTGCCACTGAACGCGTGAAAATGCGCAATTGCAGTTCACTCCACCATTTCCATCATAACTTACGTTCTGTTTGCTTGATTTTGACAGTCTAGGGCTCTTTGAAACGCTCTTTCCGCTGCCAAGAGAATGACGCCACGCTCAACTCCGTGGGTGCCACAAAGCCTGCTCCAGAGCGCAGGGAATCGCCATAGGTCGGGCCTCGTGTTGAAAGAAATACTTCTAAATTTCATCCCAATGCCATTTCGCTGTCGTTTCTTGCACAGCTCTGGATTTTTTTGCATCTCAATCAGTAGTTTCGACGTCATTACACCCGCACGTCATCAGCTGGCTGCACACCACGTGATCCACGGGAAATCCCCGAAGCACGAGGCAAAAAAATGATTTTGAGACGTTTGAACAATTTAGTGCCGCGATCAAACTTTCGAGCGTCATATCTTTATCATCGTTTCTCCTATCGCAAAAGCGATTACACCATTGGAAAGCTTGGAGCTTCCTCTTTGATCTACATATTTCGATATTTGCAACAGGACAAAAATCGATGGAGTTACGACAGTTTTACGGTACGTACACAATATCAGTCGTTAATGACTGATGCACCGCTAAGGGCTAAAAAAGAGGACCAAAAGTTTACAAGTTACCCGTTTTGTCCAACACTAACGGTTATAAGCAGAATAGAACCTTAGAACCTTCCAAGTTGGAAGGCTGCTGGTTTGCGCATTGTAGACGTGATGCAGCTAAGCATCAGGTCGTTGAATGTCATGATCTCATCAGTCAGTTTTGTGCTAATTGTTGCACATTTTTGACTCAACAGTATTCTGCTTATAACCGTTAGTGTTGGACAAAACGGGTAACTAATTACTTGTAAACTTTTCGTCCTCTTTTTTAATTACTTACAGTCCATTTCAAAACTATAGACGCGTACCTAGGCAAAAACCGTTATGCCAGCATCTATACCACATAAAATCTGTGATCACTTTGTGCATAAATTTTTCCAAATTGGGCGTCTGTTATCCAATCCTTTAGAAACTATATGAGAGTAAGTGTGGAGCGATCCGGAGCAATATTCCGAAAACTATTCTCAAAAGGTTCCAGCCAAATTTGAAATATTTCAAAAGCCCTACGCGTCTATAGTTTTGAAATGCACTGTAGGTACTGTTATTATTATTATTATTATTATTATTCCACAATCACGATGACATAGTGCCAATAAACATGTGATGCAGGCGATTTTACCCACCCATGGATATCCAAGGTACTTTATACTGAAGCTGCACTGTACACGTTGCTCATCCTACAGCTGTCGAAGGCTGGATTGTATTCGTCACCGGTGTCCATGAGGAGGCGCAGGAAGAGGATATTCACGACAAGTTCTCAGAGCACGGCGAAATCAAGAACCTGCAGTGTAACTTAGATCGGCGGACAGGTTTCATTAAGGTACTGTCATGGCCAGCAGTGTCGTGACGTGTGGTGTGCATATGCATGCATTCACTTTCAAATCAATGTACAATGGCATCGTTGTGCTAGCCTATCAATACTAGTACTCAGCCAACATACTGTAAAAACTCGTACATGCTTACAGTACTGTCGGGCGCCGAAGAACGGCCAGGCTAGAATTTCACCAATTTTTAAGAACGGTCTAGGCTGGATTTTTTTGCAGATAAGAATGGAAACCGTATTTATACACTCAGACGTATAACTCTGCATAACTGTACATGTAAGACTCTACCATCGAATAACAGCGAAACTGCTGTGTTCGCTAAAAATAAGAACACGCTAGGCTAGAACCCTGACCCCCCAGTTCTTCGGTGTCCGACAGTGCTGTACACACACCGTTGAAGCTTGATTTCACGCTGGTTAATATTCACGCTATGCCCTCTTTGCCTACAGTACTGTCGGACGCCGAAGAACGGGGGGGGGGGGGGGGGGGGGGGGGGGGTCAGGGTTCTAGCCTAGCCCGTACCCGTGTGTAGTGCTACACGCGAAGACAATTATTCACCACTACGGAGGATTAGCAAGACGAAATTCGCGTTCGCGTTCGCTCTCCAAAGAAAGTCGAACTCAGTGACGGAATTCGCGTTATGAGAAGGATTAGCAAACAGAATTCGCACATGCATGATGTTGACACGACGTAGGCAGTACAGCGTGGTAAATTTATGACTGCCCTGACACGAATCCACGATTCGTGTTCCGACTACTTTTCCGAACGAAAAATGCGAAAGTTCGCAATCCAGTTCGCGAACTGAAAAATGTTTGCGAACGCGAACGCGAATTTCGTCTTGCTAATCCTCCGTACTGTCCTTGGCAATCGTAGTGCACCTGTTGTTGACCTCGTTGACGAGTCACTGAAACGAAACGAAATAAAAAATAATTTTGTTTGTGAGTTTGGAACAAGTCATTGTCCCTAATCATTTGATGCTGTGTGACTTTTTCACTATAGGGATATGCGCTAATAGAGTATGAAACCTTGCGCGAAGCTCAAGCCGCAATCGACAACCTCAGTGGCAAGGACCTGCTTGGACAGACCATCCGCGTCACATGGGCTTTTAGTCGCGTTCCCCACAAGTCAAGGTAAGCAGTAGGGGTGAAGCTGCAACATATTGTACCAAGGGTACATAACCCCCCCCCCCAAGAGTTAGCAACTCCCACATACCCTGCTGTCCCGACAGAATTTCAAGTTGACGTCATTATTTACGATGCAATGCTCCTTCCACCAGTGATTTACGACATGTGTACGGGTGTCAACACGTCACACATTTTTCTTTGCAATAATTTGTGCAGGATGAGATGGATTCCGGATTCGTCTGATAATCTGTGTACATTGCGCATTCCATCATAAAAATGACGTCAACTTGAAATCCAGTCAATCCTTGTTCGAATTCAACAAACGAAAGGTCTAATCGTATCAGAAAAGCCTCAGCTGTCGGCTCAAAAAAACCGAAGACGATCTGAGGTCATCTGGTCATGGCGCAGAGTTATGACACTCGAACGAAATTCGCGTGGGCGAGTCAGCTCGCGCGGCGTAAAATTTGAAACGCCAGCAAGGGATTTTCCCTGACTCGCTGGCGACGCGTGCGCGACTGGCATACGTCATTTTCAAGCTGCATTTTGAAGGTCTCTCCTGCAAAAAATTGACCGTTCTGCGATCGATATTGTTGAAATGGCTGAGAATTTAGTACCGCGCTCGCAGGTCTGGCATTGGAGCGCTCAGATCGCGCTGCGGCGTTACTCCTACGACTCTATCAATTGCGAACTGGGTATGGCTGTGTTCGTCATGGAGAGAGCTTTCCATAGAGCCCGAGATTGTTGGAATACTCCAAAGGATATCGAAATTACAGTCAGATGAAAATGTGAGTTTGTGAATTTCATGCGTCTCCTGAAACAATTTAGGCTCTAAAGGGTTAATTGTACTTGCTGGGGGGGTTACAGACAATCATGCTCGAAATAAAACAGAATACAAGTTCGTGCACCGTACATGTATTATTTTGCGGAAATCCAGAGTTTCATCGTGCACATAGAGGAGAGATTGATGTACACGCTTTGTGGGCATATTGGTACAGCGGTAGAGAGAGACAGAGATAGAGGGAGTCCTAATGGTCCAATAATATATCTACAATATATCTAGTGCGAAAAAATGACTGTTCACCTCTACAAACTCGGCGTGTATCGTGTGTGTGTGTGTGTGTGTGTGTGTGTGTGTGTGTGTGTGTGTGTGTGTGTGTGTGTGTGTGTGTGTGTGTGAGGGAGGGAGGGAGGGAGGGAGGGAGAGAGACGCCAAAGGTCCATGGTTCAAAATCGACCCATGTACATTTGTGTGCATATGGGTGCAGTCAAACTTTCGTTACTCAGCCAAATCTTTACCAAATTCAACAGTCAAAATGTCTAGGCGGTAGAAAAAACTCTCAGCTTTAGCCTCGGACAAGTCCGGAGTCTCTCCAATAAAATTTGAGTGAGCGGCGATCAATCGACCATTTTGCATTTTTTTCATGGACGAGGGATTTTCCCAGCTTCGGGGCAGGCAGCATGTGCCAGGACCGGCCGGCGTGGCGCAAAGCCACGGCAAGATAAGCTTCCACTCGAAAACGTTTGAGCAGTTCCGAGGTAGGTGCATTGAAATGGCTGAAGGAGACCGGTTTTGTCTCCGATGTGGAACTGGATTCGCATTTGGAGCACGTTGTGGCCGACAATGAGTATATGCAGTGCTCTTGACTGGTTTGGGGTCATTGTAATCCTCTCACCAAGAGCTTTCCAACGGGCCCAAGATCTTCAAAATAGGTAAAGTAGAACCAGCGAATTTCGTGGAAAATAGAGAGGTTCTGCAAAACGAAAATGTGTACAAACTTTCGCTCTACATCATGAAGTAAGAAACTTCGCACGAACTTTCGCCACTTTGGACACAAAACTTACTGGGAACGCGAAATGAACTTGGGAAGTTTCATGAGATCGGTCATGGCGTACGTGCGCTTGGCGTGTTCAAGCTACGAAAATATGCAGAAAACAAAGTTCGTGCAACATTTTTCGCAAGGCCCGTCGCGTAACTTCGTTCGAATTTTTGTTTTGCAGAACCTCTATTGAGTACGTATTTTCGTGACTGCCACAAATTCTGAGGAAGCAAAAAGGTTATGGACTCCAAAGGTAGCAGTGGTGAGGCTTCCTGCAGCTTCATTCATAGGAAAAAAAGGTTTCAGAGCGGACTCGCTCTCTTCCCATTCACTCTGCAAACTCGAACTCATTTCTCAATCAATTATTACAACGTTTTGGCAAAATTGCCCTCATCAGGTATGCAACTCCAAAGGGTTTAAAAAAAATTAGTCACACACAGCAACAAAGCTGATTTCAGTTCTCAGTAAACTGTCAAAACATTTGCCAAACAAACCATTTCCGATTCCCTCAGCCAAACATATTTTGATTGGCGAAAATCTGAGTACAGTGTACTAGTACTTAAACAGTTTTTGTGGAGACAGAAGTGAAATCAACACAGTAGACACCCTTAGCAAACAACTGTAACGCTTTTTTTTTTACGGTACTCGTACCTTGATCACCCAAATAGCGTTGAAGCTGCAGCGTAAAAACGTTATGGGGGCTGATTTATCGTTGTGACCAACGGTACGTGTTTTTGGCCAAATATTGCATAGTCCGTACGCATTTCACCTTGTATCGTGTATATATGGTGACCAAAATGGTTGTACCGCGCGAAATAAAAATTTAAAGCTATTCTCGTGGCAACAGCATGCATCTTGCTAAAGGTCGAACCCAAATCACGGTATTTCCCCCTTACGGTAATACCGTTACAACATAACGTTTTTTGCTAAGAGTGTCTAATAAGTACAGCAAGTTGCGCATTCAAAACACACACCATTCGCACAGGTTAGATTTCCTTGAACGTTTTCGTTGCCATCTCTTCATAAGGAATTTACTGGCAAAGGTAATTCAATGAGTAAAGGCCGATTCACAATACAACTTCTTGCGGCGCGACACCTGCGACGAGCTGCGACAGCGACCACACGGTTCACAATCTTTTTCATGTTGCGACATCCAGGCCACATCCTTATGCACAAGTAGTACTATGCACGTGTACCCAGGGTAGAAACTGCACTCCATGTGTGTATGTCGCTTGCCGCATGTCGCAAAAGTTGGACTTTCTTCAACTTCTGCGACAGGTGCCTTGCGACTGCTTGCGACAACTTGCGACAGCTCGCGACAGGCAGTTTCTTGTCGTAACTGTCGCAAATCGCGTGTCGCGTCGCAGAAAGTTGTATTGTGAATCGGCCTTAACACAATATAAATACATGTACTCAAGTACTCAAAATGCCGTGAGGTGAAATAATACAAGTATCAGTGCGAACAGTAAATTCCTTCTGAAGAGATGGCAACGAAAACATTCAAGGAAATCTAACCAGTGCCAATGGTGTGTGTTTTGAATGCGCAACTTGCTTTACTTATTGCGTTGACTAGTACTTGAACTTCAACCCTATGTGAAGTCGCTAGTGTCTCAAGAATTTGGGAATGAGCCTTTGAAGTAAGATGCTTTCAGAACGATGGGTCCCCGGAACAAGGAGTACAGGCCTCTACTGAACTTTATAGCAGTACCTTTCTCCAGTGTTCTTTTTTTAGCAGTTCAAGAGTGGTAGTCATGCACTATGTATGTGCTCATTTCCCCTGATCTTATTGCTGTTTTATTTTTGTGTGTTGATGCTTCCAGACGGTAGTGGCACATCGCTATTCATGCTCTGTGTGTGTGCTCTGTGTGTGTGCGTGTGTGTGTGTGTGTGTGTGTGTGTGTTAGACATACGTAGCTCGTTCTCTCCAACCGGTGCCGTTTGGGTACGGTGCATTTCTTGCCTACTTTTTGACATGATCGTTGACTGTGCTTCCTGAACATTTTATCAACACTGTGTGTCACGAGCCGCTTGTGCAGCCACGACTATGAGTGCAGAAGAAGTCCTCTCTCCTCCTTCTCCTGTGACTTATGCCTCTACTGTCTGACTGGAGTCACACACAGCTTATCTCCCTGCTCGAATTTGTTCTCTTCCACTTGCTACATATGTCTTGTCGCAAGTTATGCCGCTTTGCTGTAAATATACAATTGATGCCATGAGACATGGAATATGATTTGCGAGCAGCGTCCAGGACTCTGCAGCCCCGTACTCGTGCTGAGCATGTATTTTGACTGCGTGATACTTTCTAAGGCATGATGTACTCGAGTTCAACACAAGGCACAGCTATCACTGGTTAGTAGTGCTGCTGTCATATGCAGAATCACAGCTGTAGTCCTGTAAGAGCAGCATGATGGTGTCCTGCACCATGTTCTTGGCTTCTTTCACTGCACTGTTCCCTGTGTCTAATGCTCTGCATGGTGTGTGTGTGTGTGTGTGTGTGTGCGAGGGATTCGTTGGCTGCAAATGGTATCACTGTATGCCCAATGGACGGTCCATCGGAGGTGTGCGGCGTGAAGCAGGCCCAAAACAAGCACACTACAGTCTATCACCATCACGTAGCGCCAGGACCCGGTCTCCATTCTGTAGAGAAGGGGTCATAGTCAAATCTGTGGATTAGATCTTATAAATACATGTCTGTATGCACAAGAGTACATAACCATGACTCTTGGTATGCACTTGCTATCAAGAGTACTCTTGTCTTGACACATAATAATAATTATTATTATGTACATTATGGACATGATCAGGGACAACTCTATACAACTCTCTGATCATGATTCATGTGCGTATACTACATACAGTGTAGTGTAGATCTATATCTATGGACAAAACCCACGAACAATTGATCGTTGGGTTTGAGTAAAACAAATTTATCAATCAAGTCTGTGGCTTTAACTTTACTTTGTGCCATCGATCGACTTGCAGGAGAGAAGTAACACTAGTACATGATTGTAGTTACATTAGTTGAGGCTAGTGACACGAACTACACTCACCATGCTCACTGCACTAACTGTCAGTGACACAGACAGGGGGCATGGGATATTATGGGCAGTTCAGTCTGACTCTGACAGACCGAACAGCTGCGCCACTGGCCAACACTCGAAAGGCAACAACGTTCTTCAAGTCACAAGTGATCGACAGGCCTGCGCTGGCTAGGCCTCCGCGGAATATGCCGGCATAATTTCGGGAATTATCGGTGTGATTTTTAAAACGGGAATTATTGGCAATTTTTGTGGAATAATCGGTAAAATTTGAGCAATGCCCCCCTTTTTTCAATTTTTTTCCATTTTAACACCCTGATTTGTACCAAAAAGCTTGTGATCCTGAATGAGTTGATCGCCCGGTATTTCAAAAGAGAAAGAAAAAAAGCTTCCAGCCGAGTTTCACGCGAACCATGATTTTTTTTGCCCGTACAAGTGGCAAAAAAACCCGTAAGCGGTACGGTATCTGCAAAAAAGGGAAGAAAAAAAGCATTATTGTGAGAATTATTGGTGGGATTACGGGAATTATCGGACGTAATTTTGAGCAATGCTCAAAGGAATTATCGGTAAAAATACGAGCATATTCCGCGGAGGCCTAGCGCTGGCTGTGAACGTGCACGCGTAGATCTACGCGTGACAGCGCCTGATATGCAGCAGTGACCACATCGGTCTACCGAGTCACGGCCTGCATGCTAGCAGACATGCACACACGCGAGATCGCACTGCACTGGACCACAATCATGCAGTCCAAAGCGAGCAGATATGAAAATCCTGCTCTCTCAGACTAGACTGTCATAGCCCAGGTTAGCAGAATGGAATAGTTAGAGTGACTCGTGGGGGACTTGAAAGTGTTCAGTCAAGTATACTTGGAACTATTTTGCGTGAGCCACGATGGCTCAGCAAGGTGCTTCTCCGGCAGTGATGCCCATGAAGTTGATCGCTTCGTGGGACTTGGAGAGAACAACATCTGCAACTTGTGTTCCAAGGTACATTCCTCAAACATATTGTACAAACTCATACCAGCGTAGAAGACCTATTCACAAAATTAGTTTGAAATTTGATTGTCTGTCAGATTGTGCACCTTGACACTCACCAACTTGGAGGCTTTGCGAGTCCTGGAGCCTGGTTTGCAACGCATCACAATTGGTGTGGCTTTGAAGGTGAGTATGGTTGATGTGGACTGACTGACAGTGACATGTTTATTACTCTGACTTATTGAAAAGTGGTTCACAGTCATTTCCCATCATACTTGGAAGTACTCATTGATAAAGCCGAACGCATGCTTGCCGTTTATTCAAAAGTATTGTAGACGTCATCACAAATTAATTGTAGCCGCGTCGGGAAGTGAAATTATCTATTTGGGAGAGCTTATGCTGGCTACAAAAATCCTGGTTTCTGAGTATTTGAACACTGTTATATGACATACTGTTGTTACTGAGACTGGCTAAAAATACACAATGAGAAAGAATAACGAAAAGCGGGGTACCACAGCCAAACCAGATGTAAGCACGGCGCTTATAATAGAATATACGGTACATGTGCATGTCGTGTCCGGTCGACCATGGTTTGACCCAAGGCTGCGGCAGATATGAACTAGGTTACTAAAACCTCTATATCACTAGGCCATGCAGTGGTGGTCATTTGGTGACGGTCTATGATGCTGACGGAATTACCACACATGCACAAACATACACACACACACACACACACACACGCTACACACTTGTACTTGCTCACTGCCAAACCTGGTCATGGGGGTCTCCCCGGGAGAGGAGAGAGAGACTCAAAAGGAATCTTGGAAAGATGACTCAATTGGGTATTGAACCGCCCAACGGCTGACACCCCCTGAAATCCCCAAAACTCTGGGTGGACTTGAAAATGATCCCACTTATGGGCTCACCACACCTCAGTAAGTGGGTGGGAACAAGGTGCAGAAAAAGGATTGACGGCATCAAGGTATCCGTCCCGGGATCCAACTGCATTTACCCCTGCCCCCAGTGAAGGTAATACTTGCTACTAGTGCGGGTGGCTAAACCAGAGTGGATCTGATATAAGCTTCACTAGCTCCATTGATTACAAAAGAGTTAATCTAGGCAGAAGTAGTCCATGGTTAACAGGTATGTATACTTCGAATGGAAAGTATATGAACCCTGTAACCAACAAAGGTGGCATGTACAACATTACACCTTCAAGCAGCCGAGCCCGTTGGCAACAGGCCCAATATTATCTGGCATAAGTGTACCCACTAACCGAACTAGCTGGCACACCACACACGCACACCTTTGACGCCCATCGCCGGAGGCGATGATAGCAATGCTACGGCAGAAGCCATAGCAACTTGTGCTGGGATTACACCATTCAACAGCTTGCAAGGCTGAAGCATTGACCGTCACTATTCAGCCTGGTCTACACCATACAGCTATTTGGAGTGACATTTTCTGGCCAGTGAATATCTATTTTTGGTCTTTTTAATTTTTTTTTCCCGCACACACATCACACCACATACTCCGGCATGCACTGGCTGTTGGTAACCACCCAGGAGAATGAAAGAAACCACACGCGCACACACACACACACACACACACACACACACACACACACACACACACACACACACACACACATGCACATGCACACACACACCACACACACACACACCACACCACACACACACACACACACATACACACACACACACACACACACACACACACACACACACACACACACACACACACTTGTACTTGTACTTGTTGGTCACTGCCAAAACTGGTCACGTGGGTCTCCCCGGGAGAAGGGAGAGAGACTCGAAAGGAATCCTGGAAAGATGACTCAATTGGCTATTGAACCGCCCAACGGCCGACACCCCCTGAAATCCCCAAAACTCTGGGTGGACTTGAAAATGATCCCACTAATGGGCTCACCACACCTCAGTAAGTGGGTGAAGACAAGGTGCAGAAAAAGGATTGACGGCATCAGGGTATCCGTCCCGGGATCCAACTGCAGTTACCCCTGCCCCCCAGTGAAGGTAATACTTGCTACTAGTGCGGGTGGCTAAATCAGAGTAGATCTGATAAGCGTCACTAGCACCATTGATTACACAAGAGTTGATCTAGCCAGAAGCAGTCCATGGTTAACAGGTATGTATACTTCAAATAGAAAGTATATGAACCCTGAAACCAACAAAGGTGGCAGATACAACATTACACCTTCAAGTAGCCGAGCCTGTTGGCAACAGACCCAACACAATCAGGCATAAGTGTACCCACCAACCGAACTAGCTGACACACACACACACACACACACACACACACACACACACACACACACACACACACACACACACACACACACACACACACCAGGGATGAATTTACTGTCGTGTGTTTGCACAGCAGTTTTTGCTGTGCAAAATCTCAATTGTGGCGTAAGCTACAAAAAGCATGGATAGCTTGTATAATGTACAATGTATATATCGCAGTTTTCTGCGTGTCACTGTCATTTTTGAGTAGCAGTAGATCGATTTTGCGTAGCAAACTGCGATGCGATACCGGATAAATTCATCCCTGCACGCATATACATCTAGGCATACCTCCTGTGTGCATGGTGATCCCTCTGCACAGGCGACATCACTCCATGACTCCATGCATAAAAGTAGGGTGCCCATGCACAGTTATTTTTTTCTCCTTTAGGCGAAAGCCTCCTTTATTTATGGTGGCATAATGTAGTGCTTTCCACATTGGTTATGTTGATATCAGCATGAAGCTGTGCTGGGTCCGCTCCATTTCCCTCTTGCATTCATCTGCAGAATTTTTGATGGGACGAACCGCCCTCCTTTAGAGTTGGACAAAGTATTCACTGACTAAACTTTCTGCTCGTACTGAATTTAATGGAATCGCTCTGTCGATATAAACTCTGTTTTACCATGTACTCAGGGTTCTCGTCACACGCTCCGCTCCAATGATATTGAAGTACCCAGCAATGAAACGTTTTCCATGAACCTCCAGATCACCTTTGCCCTGCAGGTACGTGCCCTGTTCACCTGTGCATAGTAGCATGCAAGGTTACAGAACTCCTAATCAGCCCTGGGCCCGACCCATATTCAGGTCCAGCTCAACAATACACATTGGACATACTGCAGGAGTACAAATTTGTGTTAGGCTATAACTAAAATAAGCCTATAAGGGGTCGTCCACATATATCGAAGCTTTTCACAAAACGAAATAATTTCGTTATGGGGTGGGAGGGGGTTGACCAATTTTGTTTCAGAAAACATTGATAAGTGTACACGGCCATAGGAGCAGTGACACACTTACGACTTTTTGCATGTATTATGTCAACATTTTTTTATGTTCTGAAGGGGAGGGAGGGGTTGGGTCCAAACTAAAATAATTCGTTTGGTGAAAAAAGTACGCAGGGCATTATGGCTGATTTATGCCCTACAGTCCATTTCAAAACTATAGACGCGTACCTAGGCAAAAACCGTTATGCCAGCATCTATACCAAATAAAATCTGTGATCACTTTGTGCATAAAGTTTTCCAAATTGGGCGTCTGTTATCCAATCGTTTAGAAACTAGTATATGAAAGTAATTGTAGAGCGGACCTGAACAATATTCCGAAAACTATTCTCGAAAAGTTCTAGCCAAATTTGAAATATTTCAAAAACACTGCACGTCTATAGTTTTGAAATGGACTGTAATGCGTAGCCCGACGTCGGTGCATGACCTAGGGCTACGCACTAGGGCATACAATCAGCCATAATGCACGACACACCATTTGTTTATTATAGTTCATACATGCCATGTACCTAGTTGTCACGATAGGGCATTTATACATCAGTTCAAAGTCCAACATTCTTGTACCAAGAGTACCCAGCTACAATCCGAAAATGGTACTCTTCAAAGACCCTTTTGCGCGATAACACCAACAAAGTGCAAGACAACGACATGGTACGGCCACAGCAGACTTGAGCTGGCAGTTTGTGCAGTCTGGACCGGTGGCATTTCGTGGTCTAAGGATGCCAACACCTCCTCCACTTCAGCTGGTGATAGTTCTGGTAAGCCAGGAATGGACAAGTCGCTTGAAGGTGCCAGGACTTGCTGCTGCTGTGGCAGATGGCAGGACTTGCTGCTGCTGCTCCAGTGCTGGGTTGGCCGGGCGTGGTGTCGTGCTAGGTGGGCTGACTAACTTTGCGTCTAGCACCGGGGCCATTGTGCTTTGCTGGTCGGCTGATGGGCGGCTGTAGCTTGTCAAGCTTTGGACATTGTGGTGTCCCGTTATTGCCATAACCTCTTGATCGGAGACACCCTGGTGAATCAGTGTTGTGATAACGGTAGCTCTTAGACAGTGATTGGTATACGTGAAATCTGTCTCTGCCTTGTCGCATATGTCTCGAAGCATCATGTCCATCTTGTTCTTACCAATCGGCGAGTTAAAGTACCATGGTTGTTTGCCACACTGATCAAGGTTGGGGCGTTGAAACAGCCGGCCGCGTGACGGATTCAGCTTGCCGAGATACATCTTGATGCTGAACACTTGACGGCTGTCCAGCATGCGACCGGCTGTTTGAGCACTCGAATCGTTCCTGATGGTTCTTTGTTATGAAGTCCGTAAAGAGGGTAAAGTATTCCTTGCCGTTGGCATCACGGCAGAGGACAAGGTCACCCTTTCTCATACTGGCTTGAACTTCACGGGCTCGAAGTCCAACATGTAGGGTAACAAAGAACCAAACTTGCTGGAGCAAAGTCACCGGATCCTTCTTAGTTCCAAACATATAGTTGATCTTATAAAGATTCAGATCGCTGATTGGGTCCTTGTGTTTAACGGGTCTCAGTTTTCCTTCACGCTTCAGTCTCTTCAAGACCCCATCAAATACATTGTTACATCTAGCAAACGCGGAATCACTAAGGAGGTCGAATCCGCGATCCTCCAGATGCCTATTGAGGGCAGCACAGAAACCGTTATAGCTGCTTCTTTGATAGGCAGTGCCTTCATGGCAACATAGCACTTGCAGAGCACTTCCGCCAGCTGCTCCCCCGAGCAAACTTTCAGGTCACATTCGATATCGTCGTTTTCTTCAACAAAAGCCTCAAACACTCGGACCCACACGCTTGTACACTCTTTTGTGCTTTATGGCACTCGCTCATTCAATATCTCTTCGACGTCTTCATCCATTACCGGATTAAAACGACGTTTTCAACTTTTGGACTCGACATCATAACTTGAAGACTGCACTACACAGATAGACCTCGGCAAATAAGGCAAGTTGAGTCTTTTCCCATGTTTCCTTTCCTTGTTCATGCTGTGCAGCATGCGTAGTGCCTAACATTTCTTTGCTTGCAAATCACTTTATGGATTGTACGATCCGTATCCCGTATACGGATTATACGATCCGTATGCGGAATGGAAAGCAAGGAAATTTTAGGCAGTGTGCATGCTCCATGGTACGTGTGTACGCCTGGGGTCATTCCTAACGGGCATGGGTACGCCGTACCCGGGCATTCTCGTCTGATAATGCCCTGGTACGGTGCTGCTCTGATTGGCCAAATGCTAGCAACGACCTGACAACAGGCACTTGACATGTATGAAGGTTGGTTCACATACCGTAAAGTCGCGGATAAAAGCCGGGTTTGCATACAAGAACATCGCGGATCGAAGCCTGAAAATCAAACGGGTCAAATGCATATAAGCCTGTCGCGCGTAGAAGCCTGGCTTCTATGCAAGCGCGGATCGGGTAGGTCAAGAGTGCATGCGCTATGTACGGTGCATAGTAAAACTGCCGCCATACCGGTAGTCAGTGGTAGATCTACGCGTGTCGCACGTAGAAGCCTGGCTTCTATAGCTACTAGTATGCGCATGCAAGCCTGATGCAGAATATTGTAAGCCCGGCTTTTATCCGCGACTTTACAGTACGCCAAATCGGCGCCGGGAGCACCGGTGAACCGGTGGTGAGCCAGCTCCCGGTCCATCCCGCATACGGTTCGAGTACTGCTGTACTGCTGTAGTACCACATCTACTACAAAATAGTACAGAATGTGCCCAAATGCTACGACAGGATTGCCAATTGGAGCTTGTATTCTTTGTTTCTTCAGTAGTTCAAGGTCTTTCGGTGATGGCCACTCGGTGCTACCTTTTACTGGAGAATCCGAGATCATGACATTACTTCTACACCTTTTATTGCAGTCTAGTAGCCGATAGTGTCGAAATTATGCATGCAAACGTTGATGAAGTCACAAGAACTTACGAATGCATCCTCCGTACTTTTCATTTGTTTCAATTGTATTTTGTCTCACAACAGTCAAGCAGATCATCCGAGAAGGACGGGTTGGTCTGCGGACTAAATTTGCCACCTTGAACTGTTTACAAGAATGACGTACGGACCTCATCTTTAGCTTCAATTTAGGAAATTTAGGACGAGTCGTGGTTTGAAATTTTGACAAAGTCTGGGTCCAGGCACCGGCAATTACCGACGCGAACGGTTCACAAACCATTTTTGGTCAAAATTGTACGGGATCGGTGCCAGGGCCGATTGCAAGAGTTGGGCAACTTTGCCGGCGATCCCTTGTGATTTTTTACTGTATGATTTTTTTTACGATTGCAGTGGTTCACATCATCGCAATGCGCCAGGAGAGGTTGCAAGAGGCCCACCGCCAGTGGCTCCCGGCGTGTGCCGGCGCTGTATGAACCAACCCTAAAACTGAAAAAAAGTCTTCGCTTCTGGTAACCGGACTCTCCCTTTTCTTGACATTACGTAAATAAAAACATCCATTTTCTTTTTGAAACCTATAGGTTCACATTGAAACGTGCAAGGTGTTATAATCTCTGCTTGTACCCCTGTAGTAATTTTATTGGTTGGGGGGGGGGGGGTATGTGTACATGTATAGTGGTGTATTTGTGCATACACGTGTCTTGGCTGGACAGGTGCCCCGCTGCATTGAGTTTTGTCTTCTTGATTGATGTTCTGTTGTTCATCAGTATCCGCATTTTATCAAGCGTGATGTCAACGTGCTGAGGGTAATGCTGCAACGGCGCAAGCGGTACAAGACTAAGCCTATTCCAGGATACAGGACTCTGGCAGTTGGTCAAGTCAACCTGTCTGAGGTGCGTTGCATTGTGCCGGTCAGCAATACAGCATGGATTTTAAGCAAATCAAACTAGTTAGCACAAACTTAGCAGTATTCATTTTTGTTTCGGAATTGAATTGGAATGGTGCGATGTGCTTGGCAAAAAAAGCCTTTTTTAAGTTTTACCCTTTAGGCCACCCTTTGTTAATTCATTGTTTAACGTCCTTTTTTTCGCGAAAAGGTACGCGGGAGGGCGGAAAAAAAACAAAATCCCATTCCAAAAACTGGAAACCCCAATCAAACATTTTGACCAGTAAAGCATGTGATATATACAATATATCTGGGTCTAACGGCACTTGCAGGCATAGAACAACACTCTTTGATGGTACATTGGAGCACATGCCTGATGAATCCAACAAAACAGGTACATAGCATGGAGTTAGCATGTCATGAATTCATTACATCTGGATTTTTACTAGGACACACACCGTACGATATTTAAAAGCCAACAAAAAAAGAAAAAGAACACAAGACAAAGGCATGCCCGGGAGGCAAGATTATAAGTTTAAGGTCATGATCGGCACACTGTGAAACTACACAATCATGTATTTACAACTTCGCATATTATTGGTACTACTACTTTCTTGTTTTTTTTCCGGTCGGAGGCAAAAAGGTACGCGGGCGCGGACGTTAAACAACGAAAAAAGAAAGGGTGGCCTTACGGTCCGAACTCAATGTATACAGAGAATTGCACCGTCCAAATGCTTGCATTGAATTTTTGGTTGCCCTTGGACAACTGTCATCATTTTGGGCACCCTGGAAAACTCGTGACAAGAGGAACACTATGAACTATGAACTCAAACCCAATCCCATAGGATGCACTGAAACAAGGCTGCAGGCGTTTCAGTGCATGACTTGCGCTCTCGATCGATCTCCATCCGCCATTTCACTCTCCTTCCTTGTATGAAGCTTAACTTATTTGTAGTCATTCGCGGGATTCTTAGTTTGAGTTTGAATGAGTGTATCCTTGCCAGCACCTGACGTCAGAGGAAGTCCCTACCATTGAGTCTCGCATTGCGCCCTGAACGCAAATATACTGTGACCAAAATCACACACTAGTAGAGCGCTGTAACTCACACGTCCGCTATCCCTTCTGCGATTGTTCGAGACGACAGCTAACGGAGAGTTTTTCTTCCACCTACATATTTCATTCTCTCCAGAAGATCGAGAATTGACTAAGTTTTGATAGTTTGAAAATGTTGAAGCAATCGAACACCTGTGTTCGATAGATGTATGGTCAAACCATAAAGGGTTAAGATACACATAGCAGTATGTATGAATTTATGAGAGAGCATGGGCATCATCCGAAAAGCATTTGATGATTTCCCGAGCGTGACTTGTGCCATGGTAGAGGATGACGTCTCCCATCCGCAACTTCACCTCAGCCGATGGTAGAATAAAATAGTAAGCTTGTCGCACTGTAGTTCATCATGCCTAGCCAGCGACCATCACGACTTGGTGTGTCTTGCATTGCTACACACTGTATGACACTATGCAGGTGATACAACACGATCTTGGCAGCGAGCTCTTTCTGTACGCACCCAAGAACAAGGATGGAGAGGCAGAACACGTGTCAACTGTCTCCCTGGGTGTGCTGACCAGGTGAGTCCATTGGCCCATCATATCACTGGCAGCGTGTTGCATGCAGATGTTGTTGTTTGTAGCTTGCACAATCAAATCTGCGGATAGCACTGCGTCCTCCTGTGCGCACTCGTCAGTGCAAGATAGAGAAGAGTTGTAATCTTCTGACTACAGGTCCACAGTGGTGCATGCACGCAACAGGCGCACCCACCATACCAAGTGGCGAAATGTACACCCAATAGGTCCTATGACTCGCTACTCGTATGTGCTAGATCCATGTATGTCCTCTCCAGAGTGTGATTACTGTGGAATTATGGCATTGTGCATACAAGTACTACAAGTAGTAAGTTCCATGTCGTGGAGTACACCACTACTACATTGTAGCCTACTGTATAACAGTGTGGGTGTGTACATGTATGCGTAATGCACTAGTGCTATAGAGTGGCGTGTGTACAGTGTATCATCATCTCATAGTGACTGGCACTCGCCTGCTGTGTATGTGCATGTGTTGTCCTGCTATACTGTATGCACACAGCCACGCTATTGATGCCACTCGTCAGAGTCACGGTAAGTTGACACCATTGTGTGTACCATTGGCATTTCAGTAGGTTTTGTTGGCAACGAATAGCCAAGCATCATCAACTAACTGGAAATCAATGATATTTCACGCCGCCACTACATTTCTACTATATAAATGGGTTACCAAAAATGCGCACAACCCATGTCAACTCTTATTAATTTTGTTGTTGTGTGTGTGTGGGAGGGGGAGGGGGGGGGGGGGGAGAGTCATGTTGCAGGAGCCTGCATACTACATTACAGACTTGAGCATCAATATCTGGCTTGGTGAGAAAGATGTTGCATACCAACCCCAAACAAAAGCTTATGATTGTGCTTTGCGCATGTCTTTGGCAGCTCGTCTGTGTATGGTCTGGGATATGAGTATTATTATTATTATTTTGCTTGTTCGCGTTGGCATCAACCTGCATAAAGCAGGTATATAGCCTTCGCTTAAGCTGCCATAAAAAAGAAAGCTCATCCTAAGCGAGAGGGCTAGAGGGAAATCTAACGATAACGATAACGAGATACAGAATACAAAGAAATCCAATGAGTTCAACGTACAATTCAAAACAAGAAAGAAAGGAAAGAAAAACAGAGCCGAATCTACCGATTGATCCATCAATCGACAAAGGGGACTAATCCGTTAGTGTTGCAAAGTAGAAGCTGATTATAGTTGCATATATGAGTAGACGTGCTATTACAATTTTTCACAGCTTGATGGCCTTGATCATTGACGAACGTCCTGTTGTTTTGCATGACTGGCGTAGCACAGGTCGGTGTGAGTAGTGGTGAGGTGTGTTTTGTTGTTTTTCATAACTTTAGTTTGCGCCGTGCTTACTTCTCCAGGTTTGTTGAATCATGAAGTTGATAGCTCTGAGGAAGATCAAGAGTTCTTTGAGGCATCTGATGAAGACGATCCCCAACCAATGCAGGTACTGACTAGTATGTTGACATTATGTGCACTACAATGTAATCACCGGGTATAGCGCACATGCACCACGCGTGTTCCCTTGTTTTTGTTGTTGTTGTTGGTGGGGGGGGGGGGGGGGGGGGGGGGTGGCAGTGGTGTATGTATGTACCGGTATGTATTTTTGAAGAGTCCGTATCCAAGAGTATGCGACTGTGCTTATGGGTCAGTGCGCGGTACGCTGCCTTCATTGCGTAACCTGACTGTATCACACCCTGCTCATGCATTCAAATCCGCAGTCTGTGATGCCAGGACATTCGTTTGTGCTTGATTTGTTCGAGTACCTATCCAATCTCCAAGTTTTGGGTGCATAAACTCCAGTTCCGTAGAAAAGTTAATTTCAAACCCCAGGTAAAGTATGGTGTTTGATTTCCGCAGTGGGCAGATGTAGCTGCATGGTGTAATGAAGGCAGCGCGTCGCACGTCTGCATAGAAAGGAGAACAGAGTTGCATATACGAGAGAGAGAGAGAGAGAGAGAGAGAGAGAGAGAGAGAGAGAGAGAGAGAGAGAGAGAGAGAGAGAAAGAGAGAGAGAGAGAGAGGGGGGGGGGGAGGGAGAGGGAGACTAAACTGTGTACATTGTACAGTCAGTATCGCCTATAGCGTTGGTGTTTGATTTTGAGCATTTTATCACTATAAGCGATATATTACTATGACCGATACTGCATGAAATGTATGCGAGTGGGGTGTCAAACGACTCAGCGCGCCGTGCACATACGCACTACATACATGTACAATGTCATGTAGCTGGCTGTAGCTCCTGACACACAAAATCAGCATTTCCTCACGATGGAGGCCTATTTTGGCAACTTGTACGAGTAAAACTCACCAAACAATACTCACTGGACAAGTTCTTCACGAAGAAGTAACACCCTGTTCTCCTCTAACATCGCTTGATTTTACATTAATCACTATAACCGATGCAAAACTAATGTAATAAAGGTCTTTTGAAATATGAATTTGATCACTATAGGCGATATATTACTAGACGATTATTACTATACGCGATAACTGTGTATACTTAGTTATGGCAAATGAAAATGAATTTGAGAAATTGATCACTATATCCGGTATATTACTATAGCCGCCAACCTTATAGGTGATACGGACTGTACATTGTACTTTTGAAGTACAGTACACACACACACACACACACACACACACACACACACATAATAAGCTGCCTATGCCTATCACAATCAACAGCAAGAGTTGATCTAGTTGTTATGAATCTGTACTCCCTATAAGGTCAATTAATGATCACTGGCCACCATCAAAGTTGTTGTTCTTATTCTGAACATCTGCTTGTGTGTGTGCGTGTCTGTGTCCGTGTGCCATGTAGGGATTGTATGACGAAGGTCTGGCACCGCAACAGCAGCACCGCCACACTCAACGTTTGCAAGCCCTACACTTACTGAAAGGCATGGCAAAGGTACTTTTTTATACACCGGTATATAATACAAGTATTATGTGTATAGAACAACAAGGGCAATCAAGGCTTGTTTGCTGCTACTGTATTACGCTCTGCCTCAGCGGTGTTGAGCACTGTCAGCACACTGGGTACATCCTCCGGTATATACCAGTATATAATTAATATAGTGGTTACTAGCCCAGCACTAGCCCAGCACAGTTCATGTAATAACCAATAATTTAATATTGCTCTGGCACTTGCATTGCATGTGCCTATACTTGTTCTGGCCAGACCAAATACACGAAGTACACGTGCAGGTATGCGAGCAAATACTTGGATGCTATGGTAGTCGTACGGGGCCAATATTGGGCCTGTCGAATGTATAATAATAATAATAATAATAATAATAATAATAATAATAATAATAATAATAATAATAATAATAATAATAATAATAATAATAATAATAATAATAATAATAATAATAATAATAATAATAATAATAATAATAATAATAATAATAGCACATTTCGCGTAGTAGAGCACTAAATAAAGAAATTCAGTATCAATAATTTGTATGTATTGTTGAGACAGAAAGAGGAGATACGGCAGTGTATAGTAGATGTGATGAGCATATTGTGTGCATACTGCAAGGAAGTGTATCCACTCATTGTCTTGGAAATGTTTTTGTTTCACTGAATCAAATTTCGTGAGCACAGTAACTCTTACGGATGTGAATAGAAACGTCGCGAAGTTTTTTCCGGAGGAAGTAGTTGTGACCAAGTGTGCAGATGATGTTGATGATTTCCTTCTCCCTCTTTTCTTGTACTGGTACTATTGTCGCTGTTGTTTGGCTGGTCATGACGAATGCCTACAGTAATGTCTTCACAGGCAAGCATGTGAAACGACCCCAAACCTGTGGCCACGCATTGTGTTGCCCGGTTGACTTCGATAAGGAAGACGTTGGCCATTTTGTACCGGTCTGATGATGATGGTGACGCCCTGCTCTCTTTCTCATTTGTGTGTTGTGTGCAGAAACGGCTTAACCGCGGCAAGTTCTTCCAGTTTCCTCGCCGTGGCAAGCTCAGCGGTGTCGAGGTAATGCTTACCAAGTGCTCGATTACTATTATCCTGCCTTTTCGTTGATATAATCCTTTGTAGGACATTTGGTTGGTAGCATGTGCCAGTTGGACGTGCCTGGTTGTGGAAACCAGTGATGGATCCAGGACGAGGGGTACGCACCCTTGATTTGTGGATAACGCAGTCGCCTAGTTTTGAGTTTTGTTTGTGTTTTTGACGTATGTTTCCACTAAATTCTACACAAATTTAGTTGAACGCGGAAGGAACGCCGGGTGGTAGTAAACAGTGTAGAGGCATTCCCCTGTAGCCCTTCTAACCTGCCACCAAGGATGTGTGTGTGTGTACGTGTGTGTAAGTGTCTGTGTATGTGTTTTGTGTATGTGTCTGTGTATGTGTATGGGTACGTGTGTGTTTACGTGTGTGTGTGTGTGTATATGTGTACTTGTACGTGTGTGTACGTGAAAAATGGAAAATGGAAAATAGAAATTCACTGGCCTGAAAAAGCCACTTCAAGCTGCGTGGCGTAGACCAGGCTAAAATTAGTGGCGGTCAATTCATCAGCCTTTCAAGCTGTTGAACGGTGTAATCCCAGCACAAGTTGCTATGTCTAACATAGCTGTTCACTGTCATCGCTTCCGCGATGGGCATGTGTAGGTGTACGTGTAAGTACGGTTTCCGTCATATGGATCGCACTTTACCTGCTAGCGTCCTTGGCAGCGTAGCAGATTTATCTTCGTTCCACTTTCTGTGTATCTTGCCAGCGCCACTGCTCTTCATTCCTGCTCTTCATTCTCTTGTTGTTTGCGCGGTGGACAGGGTGAGGTTGATCCAGAGGAGGAACATGAAGGCATGGAGGGTATGGAGCTGGAAGAAGCCTTCGGCGGTAGTGACTTCATGCCTTCTGATGACAATGACATGGATTTATCTGATAGCGACTTTGACCTTGACCCGGAGACAATGAGTGTGCGCTCCACGCCGAAACCGGTTCTCAGGTAAGATGAAGGAAGGACCTGCGTGTATGAAGCTTTTCCGGAGCACCGCTATGCTCAGTATGCATGCATAAGTGTCCACTTTTACTACCGGGTTTGGGGAATGGAACTCAGTCCAGGATGGGGAGCATGTCTTACTTGGCCAATGCTGGCCAAGAGGCGAACGTCTTTCGGGATGAATGCATGCACTCTCCCACTTCTCGTTGGTTGAAAGTGATTTGTGGCAAATGTCTACTGGTTGCAACTGTTGCTGTTTGTTTGACTACATGTACCAGTAGCCAGAAGTGTACTTGTACTCTGTCCCATTGCCACCTCTACACTTCACACATGCGCACTATCACCAAATATCTAGGCCTGCTCGTAGAGACTTCTGCAGTGAATGCCGCTGTCCAATGATCGCTGAGACGCGTCAAACTTGAAGTTACGGCTACACAGCCTTTCGTCTCCATTGCTTGTGTAACCGTGCTTGTATGTATACAGTATGTACAGCATGTATGTATACAGTATGTACAGCAAGGAAACGTGCTCTACTCTACTTTAAACATGTCGTGTGCCATCGTTTTCTCCTGCAGGCCGTTTTACGCACCGTCAACTACCAGCAGCAGTTCGGCCAGCATACGCGGCCATGCGAATGTAAGTTCATCAATGCATTGCCCTATCTATGCGTGTGCCCCTGTCAGATACCCTTTACATATACATACATCAGGCGCATAGCCCGCATGGGGCACGTGCACCCCCCCCCCCCCCTTTGAAATGTCGACCTAGGTTCAGAATGCCCATATTGACCATGATGACATGCACCAGCCATCCTACACATGTGCGGTCTTGCACCCCCCCCCCCCCCTAAAAGGGGGACCAGCTACGCCCCTGTGCATGTTGCAAGCTACTCAGTCTCCGGACAGCTAGCTGTTTCGACCTTGTTGGCTTCTTAGCTGCTGAAGATGGAATAAAAAATACTCTGATATCGGACGCTTTCTTAGAGTACATGCTTGCGACTTGAGCTTCATTTGCCTCTCTCTCTCTCTCTCTCTCTCTCTCTCTCTCTCTCTCTCTCTCTCTCTCTCCTCTCTCTCTCTCCTCTCTCTCTCTCTCTCTCTCTCTCTCTCTCTCTCTCTCTCTCTCTCTCTCTCTCTCTTTCTGTGCAGGTTGGCGATAATCAGCGACATTCAGCACAACACCCTCCTGTGGCACCGACTTCAAACTTGGTCAGTTTTAACTTCAGCGCAGGTCTTGATTTGCTAGTTGTCCGTGCTTTGCAACTATGTACATCATGACAGTAACAGTGGGTCCGCACTGCTTGCCGACCTAATCAATTTACGACTGGCCTGAGCTTACAGACATTGCTATGTGTCAGTGTTTCAAAGGCAGATCAGAATGGATACTTAAATCAAGTTGCATCTGAACATGTTGGCATGAGTAGACTGCTCTGAATGTGGAGCTTTCACCGCTGTGTACAATGGTCAATGAAGACTATTGAACAATGCGGTGTACACTGGACATTGGACAATGAAGTCTATTGAACACTGTGGACTGTGTGTGATGTGTTCTTGGCAGGCATCGCATGGAGTGCGCACACTCAAGCAGCGTGTCGAGCAGGTCAAGGAGAAAGCGGAGAAGACGCTCAAGAAGGAGCCGAAGGAAACTCGCTCGGAAGAGAGAGATCGCACTCAGGCCCGCGAAGGCCGCTCAGAGAGAGACCATGGCAGGCGACCTGAGGACCGTCCGACCCGACGCTCAAACTCCGGCGAGGACGCCCATCGAATCTCGCGCAGGGACGACGAGCGACAGCCGACGCGAAAGAGTAACAGCTTTGGCGAGACAGTAACGATGGGCCTGGTACCGTTTGGTGAACGAGTGGCCATGTCCTCCAGTGGTACTCAGATATGTGTGTCGGGTGATAACCAGATTCCGCCTGGCTATCCACTGTCCGTGCCGCAAGACTATTCATCGCCCCAGGAACCTACAACGCCAACCAAGCAGTCAGTCCTGCGGCAGCGTAGCTTTTCCGCCATTCAAACACGCCGCGCGAACATAAGCACACTGACCGGGACGCCGCAGCGAATGTCAGCTGCGGAGATCTCCTCCATGTGCCGGCACAATGTTGTACCTGACATCGATCCAGACGTTGTCACTCAACTGGTATGTTGCCCTTGTAACTGACCTGTGTTTAGTGCAGTGTTGATTTTACTCATGTTCCGCCTCTGCTTGTGTACTTCTTCTTATATCCCCTTGTGTTTATGCTGTGTTACGCAACACCGCAACAACCCAACCATTCCCGAGTTGTGGATGTGCAAGATATTCCTTGGAGCAATCATGTACCTTGTCCAGTCAAATTCCTGACCAAGCCCTGGTCGAGTAACTATTGATTACGTGTTGCGTGACGCAGACGATAGGCAGACATTTACGTGTGTGTGTATATATATATATATGTGTGTGTGTGTGTGTGCATGCCTGTGCGTTGCTTGTGCTTTCAATGGCCATCTGCTGTGATTCTGTAGAACGATGGGACAGCCGCGGATCGAGCAGCCAGTTTGCTTGCGGACATGCCGCCATCGATAATCCTGCTGAATGCGTGTGACCCGCATGGTGTGGTGAGTGCAGATTTGTTCTCAATGGTACAGTGTACTGCTTTCTGAAAGAAGCATACCTCTACTTGAAAGTAGCTGTAGATTGGAGTCTGTATATGTACTACAGGTCATGTACCTGCACAAGAATTTGGAGTGGACCATATTAATGCACCGCCAAAATGGCCAGAGTCACACTACAGAACACTGTACGGTGAAATTCATGATAAAATTGTGTTGATCTAAATCAATTTATACAGTATAAGATCTGGTTACGTTGGTGGACAGTTAGTCATAACTGATAACATTTTGTCCTTCTTCTTTTCACAATTGATACAGTATTAGACTATTGGCGGCAGGATTAGTGAAATGAGAAAGGAAATGCTGTGAGCCTCAGGATTTCTTTAGTTCATGTATTCTTGTGTGTTCTGCTTGGTGCAACTCTCTGCATACAGTCGGTCGGTCG